CAAGATTCGATACCGGCTCCGTCGAGGAGGACGACAGTGCCATCAAAACCCGTTATTGATTAATAAGTAGAATAAATAGAATTTGTAGACCAAGGATTCGATGTACCGTCAAAAATGAAAATGTTACCAGTGGACACTATTTTGCTAATGTATGAATATTTGGAATTTAACTATAAACTGCAAGAAAACGAAAAGGGTTCCTCAAAATTTAATTCCTTCAAATTGTTTTTGTCTTTCACATATTGTATTGTTCCCTTCAGCTTTTATCTGATCCTGGATTAGATAAGAGTGTAATCTATTAAAGGAATGGACTATTTCTTTGAATTCCACGTTGCCATATTATAGTATTAATGACTGCTTTGAGAGAAATAGTTGTTTTATTACGCTCAAGGGAAGGTTAGAATTGTGCTATTCCCCGAGGCTTGCCGAGGGGAATAGCCCAATTGTAACCTTCCCGAGAGCGTATAAAAACAACTATTTCTCGAATATTAAAGCAGTCATTAATACTTTTATATGCCGAAAAAAAATAGACTAAAAAATAAAAAATAAAAAATACTTTTTTTTTTTTGTCGAAGGTGAGAGTCGAACTCTTGCGTACAATGAGTGATGAATCTTTTACCAACGCCTTACACCACTCGGCCATCGCGCGCTGTTCACATGCTTGGCAGTTTTATACAATATATACATTAAAATGGATTGAAACCGGCTTCGGCGTGATGAATGCTTCGCAAAAGCACCCTTCTTTTACTTTTGCAATGCATATTGGCACGAACTTAGATCAAGATCTATCGGCAGATGTTGTTTTTTTGTTTTTGAGAGTTTATTTTATGTCAACAATGCAAGATAAAATTGTCGGTAAGATCGATCGAGATTCAATTGTATTGAAATTGCCGACCAATTTTTCGCACACATATGTGTGCGAAAAACGGTATACGGTATACGGTATACGGTATACGGTATCCTCCATCGCTCAAACCATTTTTTAACATGTAAACCTATGGGGTAACCATGGAGACTGACCTATTTTTTTAATAACCATGGTTATTAAAAATATTGAAATGTTTTATGCATGGTTACCGGGAATTTTACAGGAACAGTTGAAGTTTATGAATGCAATTCGACCAATCAGATGGCTGGATTTCTTAAGTGAGGTATAGACTCTATAATTATGTTTATTTGGAGTATAACATTTTAATCACTTTTTTTTTACCAAATGACTTGATCTTTGACAATAGACCGGTTTACTTAAAGGTAAAGACCAGTATTGGAAACGCCCCAATTTCAAAAAATGAAATGGAAGCTCTTATTACCAATCATGTGAAATAATATGTTTTGAATAATAAATGATGATAAAAATGTTGACGGGAAACCGCCTACTAATTGATATATTTGGTAAATTAGTGTATCTCTCGCCTGTTGAGAGATACAAATGCACGTGTCGCGCACGTGTGTGGAGTCCCATATACCAGTGGCGGATCCAGGGGGGGGGGGGGGGCCTGGGGGGCCCGGCCCCCCCCCTTGAGAAAAAATCATGCAAAATCACGCGTTTTTTTACCTTTTTGGGGGGTTGGGCCCCCCCCCCCCTGGCGCTCAAGGGGGGGGGGGGTGCGAATTTTAAAATTTTCGAGGACAAAAAAAAAATTGTGCTTGTGGCTTGTGGGCGTTTACCGCTGCAAATCCGAACAGACCTGTTAAGATTTACACATTTAAGAGTGGATTTCACTATTTGAAGATACCCATTCAAATATTGCTTTTTCTGATTCTGTTCCCATGATTACTCTAAATGATTGAGTTGTCACAAATGTGGATGTATTATGTTCCTATGTGTATTTCTCTTTGATAGTCTGATTTTGATTTTGATTTTATGTTCATTCATTTTGTTTAGTTTGTATGTTTCAATTTCTGTGATTGTATTGTTAGGTTATGTTAAATTGTAACATAATTTGATGCCATTTAAGACACACTTCTGCAAAGATCCCCCCCCCCCCCCCCAAAAAAAAAAAAAAAAAAAAAAAAAAAAAACATAATTTGGGTTTTCTGTTGTACGCAGAAAACCTGAATTTTGTATTCTTTCATCAAAATTCGACTTCACACATTTTGTTTTAAAAAAATCTTTGCAGAAATGTGTCTTTCACATTATGATAAATAGCCTATTAAGTGATATTTTGCCATCAAAGTTTTGGGGCTCCCAACACTTTAGAGGGGCTTTAATGTGAGTGAACCCCTTATAAAAAACAGCTCTCGTGCTGATCAGGGTGGTCCACCCTACAAGTGATACATACATAAATAGATAAATAAATGAATAAATAAAATAAATGTTGTATTGAACGGGGCTAAACCAGTCTACCTCTTGCAATTCATTGGTTCCACTTACTAAATGTGTAATTGCATTATGCTGAAATACAATGTAACTTGAATTTTTGATAATAAATCAATGAAATTAAAAGGAAGTGATTCAGAAGAGACTCTTTAAAGAATGGATGTTTATTCCTATACGTACTAGAGTAAATTTGTCTCGATTGAATTGATTATAATGTATTCTATGTAATTAGTAACGTATTTGAGGTCAGTTGGCCTATTTTAGAGACAAAACCTGACAATCTGTGATTCGATCTATAGTTGCGTGTATTGAAAGGCTCGAGCTACATATGAAACCGTGAATGCAAAAGCATTGTTATGACATAATCATCGCTAAGTTTAGTACCCGGTTTAGTATCCTTAGGAAGTGTGTTTATTCTTCTTTATACGTGTAATTCCACTCCAATTGTTATGATTTTCAGTCATGAAGTTTGCATTACATCAAAAAAGGGGCAAGATTAATGGTCAAAAGTGAAAAGTTGCTAAACATGCTGCTCTTGCTTGGCTGTACATTCTTCTTCTTCATTGAAGAGTGTTGGGCTGCTGTGGAGTGCATTGCATAATGATTAATACCAGTGCTTACCAGCACATTTTGCAAATTTTCACCTTTGACCCTTCCCCTTATTCAGATGTCCTGCTCATTCCATGGCTACAACATCAGACCAAATATGGTATCATTATAAAGAGGAATAAACGTACTTTTTAATGTTACAAAACTGAGCGATAATTATCCCATGAAAAGAAAGATATGATCGATCAAACTTGAGTTTCAGAACTTTTTTTGAGGGGTATAATGACGTGCTGTTACACGCCTTTTTTATACAGATTATTGTATAGGACATGTTTAGGTGTATGTTACATAATTATGTAGTGCGACATTATACTATCCTCCTCTTTGTAATTAAATAAACTGATTGCAATAAATAAACCCCTCATAAAGCCCCGAATTTACAAAGGAGTTTTGTAGACAAACCTAGGTTTAAAGATAAACTTGAGTTCTGGTAAAAAAAAGAGAAAATTAATTCTCACAGAATCACCCGAAACTTACACTGAATGTTCAAGATTACAAATAAATGACATGTGCCAAACAATTTTGGAAGAAAATGTATACTGGCTGAGTAATGAGCATAGAAAGACAAGGAAATCAAGGTATAGTACCAGCCCCGACACCATGTGTGTTGTCCCATATATAGCTTTCTGTGTTCAGAGCTTGTTACTTTACCAAGACTCGGTCAAATTTATTATGATTTTGATGACTCCAGAACCTAATTGCAGTGCACACCAATACTTACATGCTACATGATCAACTGTTTCTGATCCTTTCCACACCTTTTCTTTCACAATGCAATCGCATTACCAGTACTAAAGTTTATCTTTAAGTGCGTCATATGACGCGTTTTGACTAGTTTCTAACCAAGGTTTGTCTGACCTTGGTCTAAAACGCATCGAAACGCGTCATATGACGCACTTTAACCTAGGTTTGTCGACAAACCTCCTTTGTAAATTCAGGCCAAAAAGTTTGGAAACTCAAGCAAGTGGATCAATGTCTAGCCAAAAACACGATTGCTAAGGCGAGGATTCGAACCCTCGACCCTTGGATGGAGAGTCAAGTGAATGAACCACTATGCTACGACACCTCGAAACATATGCACTATAAAAGCTAGACTCCACTACTATTATTATTATTTTTTGTGATTTGATGACGCGATTTGGGTGTGTGTTTGCAGCAGGAATTAGGTACCAGCAAAAATTTGTCCGCGAGAATCATGCGGTCTCTAATAAAATTATCAGCTTTCTAGCTTTCAACCTCGTATTTCCAAACTTACTATTATGCGAATTGCTACCCTCACATTGATTTTATTTTCTTACCTTCAACCGTATACAAATAATTCATGTTTGCGTCAGTGCATCAAGTGCACTAGTGACTATGCAATGCACGCTGGTTAAGTCACAGTAGGATAATGAACAAGACTAGTCGAGTTACTTGTTCGTCTCATTAGGGACTTTTAGATTTGCGTGGACTGATACGTGTGACGTCCATTCAAGGCAGTGCATTAAAAAGGACGTCGATCGTAGCAATCCACGTTGTCGTTGTGCAAATCTAAAAGTCCCTATTGTGACTTAACCAAGTGCAGCGCATCATTATCACTAACAAGCTAAAAACATGTATTATTTGGTTCATAAGATGGGTCTACAATATGAGTATAAAGCCAAGAAAATGATGGTTGTCATCACCAAAATGCACTCCTCGTGCATATGGTAAAAATTAATACACGCACACGTGATCCATTTCGACGCATCTCAATGGCCACCTTCTTGAACCCATTTTATAAAATACAATACACCAAGGAACAGGACGCATATTCACTTTTATAACCATATATATTTTAATAACAATACCATAACATTATAATCATATTTCATATATATAGAACTCTTTGAGGAATAGTAATACAAATAAGTTGACTTTAATTACCCAACCATACGAACATGATCAACAAGGAGGGATCAAAATATCTACCTTATGAACGTCTATCTCTATCTCTGAATTTTCCTACGCCAACACAACCATTCTCGAAAAAATAAACTCAAGGGTAATTTCAATGCCACATTGTATACTACTACCCCTAGAAATCATGTTGGGATTATGTAATACGTCATCGTTATGTTCACACATTCCAATAGGTGACGCACAAGGCTACTGAACTTGCCTTAGCTTGAATTTTTCGAAAGTACTTGCTATCGTGTTTGTCCACTTTTTCATCATTTATTCATGAAAAAAATTACAGAAATTTAAAAAGGAAGGGTTCTGTTAGACAGATTCTGGCGACAGTTGCTCCGCTAAATGAATTCCCAAATCCAACCCTGACCTAACACTAGACCTAATTCTAACCCTAATGGTAAACCTAACCTAAACCCCAATTGCAACCCTAACCGTAAACCTATATCTTTGACAAAATCGAGCCCTTAGCAATTGTCGACAAAGCATATATCATATTACTAAGATAAATCCAGGGATCTGTTTCACAAAGCCTTTTTTAAATGACAAATGACAAAATTCAGTGACAAATCTGCTGATAACCAATCAGAAGCAAGGATTTCAGTAGCTTATAACAAAAACTGTCATTTGTCACCGATGACAAGTTTTGTGAAATGGAGCCCAGGTTACTTCTTCATATGGAGAATGTACTATCAGTATAAGTGATAAATACACAATTCCCAATTATGCATAATGAATCCTTTTTCCCTTGATTAATGCATATCAAACCTTCAATCCTTTCTCCCCTCCACCTCTTCCTCCATTTCCCTTTTCCCGACTTATTCTCAATATTCAATTGCTTTGTCAAGTCACAATCAAATTTAAACTGAACTTCTTATTTTTGAGACACTGGAATGTAATATTCTACACATAAAATTGCATAACATCAGGATCAATACAGGCAGTTCCTATTGGATAGTATACACAGATACAGAGGAGGCCAAAATACCTATACACCCTAAAATATGTGTACCGGTATGCAATAGCTATAAATTATAACGTGCATATATGTATATGTAATCTTAAAGCAATACAGAACTGGTGAATTTTTCTGCCCTAGGTTACCTTTTATTGCACAGCGCCATCTCATGGTCAAATTGCCAACAGTGCGTAACCCAATACTTAATTTCCACTTGCAGACGAAGGACTCGATGTGAGAACAAACAGCGCAGCTAGGGAAGCGGGGAGTAACAGGACCATACTGCAACAGCTGACCTGAGATGGCGCTAGAGAGGACTTGCAATCTAGTACTTCTAGTACAGTATGACTTTAACCCTTTGTGTGTCATGGGTGCCATAGAAAGTTGAGCAAAGAGTATGCGTGCACATTCTTTAATTTAAAAAATGCTTAATCTGCCACTGATTGCTATCAGCTTAGCCTTTCTCGCTCTCTTGAATACCTGACCAGTATCATGCTGGCCTCGTCAGTTTTTTTATAATGGTAATGATTCCAAATTTCAAAAGATTTTGGGTCATGTTCTACTCAAATTTAAACCAGAGGCTGACGTGAGACCCTGAATTAGTGGAATACAGACCCTTTGTCTGCACCCATTAATACAATAATAGAGTTACAGCACTTATTGCAAAATGCAAACATTTTGAAAAGCTAAACATACTGTACTAGGAGAAAGAGACATTGCATGTACATTATGAATGAATATAAATGGAAACAGAAAATCATCAGAGATTTTGTTCATGAAGCACCTCTAGCACATAAAAAACTAAAACAAAATTGTAACAATACATATCTTTAAAGATTTTTTTTGGGGGGTGGGGTCCTACTTATTCTGTCCCTGTATTCATCACTGATATTTAAATAAATTCTCATCAATGTTAAGAAAAGTGATCATTTAAATAATCTAGCTTATACCCCTATTGACAAAGGATTTGCAAGACACACATGAACGACATAAACAGGAAAGAAAAAAAAAGCCTTTTGAGATTCAAACTATTCCTCTCAAAATCTGATTATCATATTCTTCAAGTACTGATCCTATCTTACAGACTTCAATGTCCTTTTAGAATTCAACAAAATGATATTTTATTTTTATAATACAGATATCTAATATCTATCTATACACGAAACTGACAGATGTTCAACTATATATGGAAATATAAAGAACATGTACTATTATTGCCCCAATTTGTACAATACATATTTTTCACAGTTTAAACAAACAGCATTGTCTCATTATAATTAATATATTGGTTATTTTGTACAAGTGAATCTGTTATTGGCAGAACTGCCAACATCAAAAATTAGACCACCACATATATTACAGGACTGAACTTTTCATGGAGTTTTCCGACTTTAATTCTCAATGAGAAGCCTTCATCAAGAAGACAAAAAAGTGGTCTTTCTATACAGATGGTCACAAAGTTGGTTTCAGTATATTCACTGATAAATGAGTCAATACTATCAAGAAAACCAAGCAAATAGTTCCAGGTGTCGCAACAAAATATCTTCTTTTCTTAAGTCCATGCTTGTTCATTGGTCTGTGACATCAGCAACGTAAATAGGGTGTATTCAAATTTGCTAGGCAATGAAACAGAATTTGACATAACAAGCAATGCTATTATAAACCTTTCAATTCCTTTTTGGTTCTTTATGCAATGATGTAGATTTACAGACTTGATTAATGAGATGTACTGTGTTTTTATTTAGCTGAAGTTAAAATGTCCACGATGACGACGAAGAGGTCTTGCTCAGTCGCAGAAGTTGATTTGGATAGGATAGAAGACATAGGGGAAGTACTCTGTGTTTGACATTAGACCTGGCATGTCAAAAGCCTGCAGGAAATAAAAATGAGATAATTTTGAGATAAATTTTGAAGTTAAAGAGAAAGCTGAGTTCTGGGAAAAGGGTGAAAAACAATTTGTGAGCGTTATCATTGCTATTATGCAAGTGTGGAAGAACATCAGATAAAACATGCTCCTTGAAAAGCATGGCTCTTCAAATGCCTGGATATTCTAAATATCGCATGTAACATCATAAAAATCTGGACAAATTTTTACAGCACTTGTTCGAGTAGTCCCATATACATCTTTCTGTGTACAGTGAATTTAACTTCACCAAGACTGGGCCAAGTTTCTTATCATTTTGATGATTCCAGAACCTTGCAGTACACACCAATACTTATATGCTAGATGATCAACCTTTTCTGATCGTTTCCACAACGTTTCTTTCACAATGCAATCGCATGACCAGAACTCAACTTTATCTTTAAAGGGACATTTGAGCTCTTTTTTTAAGACCGCAAATGCCTTCAAAGTACATGGTTATTGCTCTTATTCTTATTTGCCACTCAGTTTTTCATTATTTCATTAAAACAATTATTTTGTGTAGCGCCCTCTACACCAAAACTCAACTATCCCTTTAAATGTTGTGAACATTATCATCATAAGAAGTAAGAAAAAATTAAGTAAACATAAACATGTAATGTATTTAAGCCATTCCTTCAATAAAATAACTTAATTCCAAGAAAACAAGACATTACAGAACAGAGGTACAGTCAAACCTGTCTATAGCGACCACCCAAGGGAAACACAAAAAGTGGTCTTTGTAGACAGGTTCCTTTAGTACATGTTTCAATGAGAAACCATTTTCAAGGGAAACAAAAAGTGTGGTCTTTGTAGACAAGTGGTCACTGAAGCAGGTTTGACTGTACAATGTAGAAAACACATTGGATCGAGGAATAACTTTTTACTTACCGGTACACCTTTAGCATCCTTAGTATTTATATTGCTTCCATCTAGATGGCCGTAGAGGGTGTTTAGAACTTCTTTGAGTTTCTTCTGTGTTTTCTTGTATGGCTGCAGTATCATGGGTTGAAAGTTAACTGGCAGACCATACCTAGAAGAGGAAACAAAGAGATGAATTTGATCTAATCTGATAAAAGTCACCTAAATTGGTTTGATCATTCTACGTACTCCCTCAATGCTTTAACATAAACCACTTCTATTGACATCCCAGTCACACAAACAATCCCAAACCACACCAACCACAGACTGAACAACCAAGTTACATTACCTGGGGGTGTTTCACAAAGATCCTAAGTTGAACTCATCTCTAAGTTGGACTTAACAATTATGGAAAGCCGTTAGCATCTATGAAAAATATTTTGTAAAAGTTATTTTAAAAGGCATGAAATGTTGATTCAAATCGTTCATATTTTCTTTTATCAAGGAGATTTCATGTCCTTGATGTGGAATTTATAAAAAGTCCAAAAAAGCTGTGTTTTTGCTTTTTAATTTATTTTATTTTAAAGCTAGAAATGGCTCTCAATAATTTTTAAGTCCAACTTAGAGATAAGTTCAATTAACTTAGGATCGTTGTGAAACACCCCCTGGATTGGCCAAGAATCAATCGGTTTGAAGTCTGTTTGACAATGTGACTGAGGTATAATAGTAATCTGAGCCTGGGGAGTGTTTCACAAAGACTAAGATCAACTTTGAGCTGAACTTAACTATGGCAGGCCGTTCATGCCATAGTTCCTCTAACCATGGTTTCTCAAGGGACGTACAAATCATGTTCACAAACATACAGAATAGAAATTTTTTGATAGTTCATTATTGTAGAAAAATATATTATCTAAAGCTCATAATTGAGAGACCAATGGTGAGAGCAGCTAGTGGCGTGAATGGCCTGCTATAGTTAAGTCCAGCTTAAAGTCGATCTTAGTCTTTGTGAAACACCCCCTGGAGGGCGTTTCACAAAGCCTTTTTTCAATGACAAATATCAGTGACAAATATGTTGATAGCCAATCACAAGCAAGGATTTCAGTAGCTTATAATAAAACTGTCATTTGTCACTGATGACAAGTTTTGTGAAACGCCCTCCTGATGTTTGTAATTGAACCTACCTTAAGACTGATTCTACGAACACCCTCAGTGCCTTGACATGTACCCACGCCTGGAATGCTTCACTGAAGTTGATCTTTAGCCATCGCACGAGTGGGCCCTGCAACACAAGAATGAAATAATGAATGAAGACACATGTAAAACGCAATAACAGAAGTTTCTAAGCTCATGCAAAAAATGAAATAAATAAGTTAATTTTCCTAAATATAGAACAGTTGATGAAATAATTATAATAAATTTATATAGCGCAGCTTTTATACAAAATATATTCAGCTGCGAATACAGATCAAGCCAACCCCACCCATCAGGTCCTGACCTATCACCAAAACTTTGAGGTTTGGGAGCTCTAGATTGTACTTGGTGACATTAACAGAGATCAATATCTATGTGGGGTTTTTTACACTCTTGAAAGAGTGGTTAAATCTAAAACATATGGGTCACTCCATAAAGTTGGGGCAAAAAATATGACGATGTCCATGTAACGTTGGTCTTCTATCACACATGGAAGATGAAATTATCAGTTGAAGATTTTTATGCAATGAATATAATTATAGTACTGAATGCCAGAATCGTTCCAGTTTCAGTTGCTTTTCTCAGTTCAAAATTTTTACTTGATACTCATTTATCTTTTTACCAGCTTTACATGGACACCATATTCATATAACATTACATATACCTTAGGTCTATAATATCGATTCACCATATAGCTTGAGTACTTCTGAAGATAGTTGGCCAAGGTTTTCATGCAAAACTCAATTTGAGCTATAATTGTTACAGTTGATAGGAGACATAGTTTCTCACTTCTGGTATGTCAACAAAGTGCCCCAACTTTCTGGACAGACTCATATCACTCAAGAGTTATTCAATACATTGCATAAGGCATGACAGAATGAGTAGTATGGAAGCTTTCTTACATATTGCCTTTTCTTGTCAGCTGCAAGCTTGTTCAGCTCGCTCTTTCCGGCGTTCAACTCCTCCTCATTGTATGTGAACTCTCTCACCATGAACCTGTGTGGGAGGTCAAAGTTCAAAGGTCAAAGGTTATATTTAGTTAATTCACACTCTTTCATAATCAAGGACCTAGAATAAGAACTATAAATTACCGGGTACAACAAACATCTTTTACCAATTTCTAGACACAAATCCACAAATTATTAAGAATTTAATAGCAACTTTCTTGCACCTATTTTTTTGTTTTAACTTCTGTTTTCCCTGGCGTGTAGTTTGTACTCATCCACGACTTTCTTGAATAATGACAAAACAATTTGACTGCCCCCCCCCCCCCTTTTCACCCTGTCCCATCGCACTTAACCCACTGCATACTAGAATCAGCTGGGCCATGTATAAAGCCTATGGGAAAGACAAAATTCAGTAGTAAATGGGTTCATCCTTACTTGTTTTCCCTGGCGTGTAGCTTGTACTCATCCACGACCTTCTTGAATAACGTGACGCTGTATAAGCCGTGATCATTGTCTTCATAGATCATCCTGCAATGAATAAAAGTGGAGCCGATTATCCATTTGAAGCACTATAGCACATTGTGTAGCATACATTTAAAACCCCAAATGGGAATTAATCCTTCAAAATAGGAATTGGTGGCAGCTATGCACTACACAAATGTGACTATTACTGTTATTATTATACTTGATGAGTTCCAATCCCATTATGGGGGTCATGCATGTTGCACCAGTCCTCTGGAACGAGCTGCCAAGTGACATTCGAAACATTCAATGCCTAGAAACCTTTCAGAAACATGTTAAAACGGTTTTATTTACTCAGAGTTACAAATGATATTATGTTGTTAAAATTCTGGAGAGAGATTTGTGTATTTTGTTTTGTACAGCACATTGAGTAAGTTATTACATAAGTGCGCTTTTTAAGTGTTTATTATCATTATTATTATGATTATCCCATCAAAAGCAAGGATGCATGTTTTACTCACCTTGTAGACCTGGGCACAACCATGTCAGAGAGCTTCTCATATTTGAAACCCCAATCAGAGTACAGATTCCTGCCAAAGAGAAGCAAGGCAAGACAATTAGATAAAGACTTATACAGTGAAACCTGCCTATAATGACCATCCAAAGGAGACTTGTAAGAGAAGTGGTCTTTATAGGCAGGTGCTTTTTATGTACAGGTTCCTTCCTCTCATATTTCATTTCTCTCTCTTTCTCCCCCTTTCCTTTTTTTGTCTCTCTCTCTCTCTCTCTCTCTCTCTCTCTCTCTCTCTTACTCCCCTCTCTCTCTCTCTTTTTTTCTCCCCCTCTCTTTCTCCCCCTCTCTCTTTCTCTCTTTCTCTCTGTCTCTTTCTTTCTCCCCCCCCCCTCTCTCTCTCTCTCTCTCTCTCCTTCTCGGTGTGACCGAAGTAAAAACAAGTACAAATGCACAAGGAAAGGATATGAAAGATGGATTTCAACCTACTTTTAGACCACGACGAGTAGCGTGGTGAGATACTACGACTCGTTGATGAAGTCCTCCTTCTCTCTCTCTCTCTCTCTCTTTCTTTCTCTCCTCTCTTTCTTTCTCTCCCTCTTCCTTTCTCCCCTCTCTCTCTCTCCCTTTTCTCTCTTTCATTCTCCCCCTCTTTCTTTCTTTCGCAGCGTGTCAGTATAAGATAAGGATAAGAAAGATGGATTTAAATTAAACCTACTTTTGGACGACGACGAGCAGCGTGGTGAGATACTCCGACTCGTTGATAAAGTCCTCCTTCTTGACGATGTCTCCAAGATTGCGTGATAATAAGCTCCCTCTGTGCAAAGAAAGGGAATGGCATTCTGTTATCCCATTGGCTACTGATTTATTCCCTTAAAGCTTATCAGTACTAGTTTACAAAAGAGATTAGACTGCCCCGCAAGGTCAATGGACAGGTGGTTATCTCATCAACTCAGCTCTCAGTTAACATAAGAAAAAGAGGATCATTGGGGACCAATGGTCACCAATTAGGCATTGTTTAATATAGAGAGGGCGCAAGTAGCTACAAGTAGTGCAGTGGGCCTTTAAGCTTGAATACAATAGATTACTATCTATATAAGGCTTACTAGTAGAATAATAAATCAGTGTATTCAATATCTGTAGCGCAGTACCCGGATGTCTGACCAATATTGTTTTTGTATTGCTCAGTCATCCAGGAACTTCAACTATCAATATTATTATCGATATCACATCACATTATCACATGAAAACAATGCCATATGTACCGAGGTGAGTCAAATTTGTTATTTCGCTAGTCAGCCTAATATAGATAATAATAATATTACTTTGCTCGTCCAATAGTGTCATGGCTCGAGCAACATATTCTTGTATCACACTCACAGCCATCCAGTATTATATAAATACCGAAGCTGTGACATCATAATTTTTTTGAAGAATTTCTCAATTTGAACTTCATTTTCCGGAGGAGCATCAAAAATAATGTCCAAATGTTGAAAACCAATTGAATATGCTAAATATTGGCTGAGAAATGACCATCTGAATAAATAGAGTTCAATAGGAAATCACTGTTATTTTGCTCTGGTTCATAACATTATGGGATAAGGGAGGCACGTTAATACAAAGTGCAGGCTTCGGTCTTCTCCTTGGACTTGACTCAAACCAATAATTTTTGGGTGAACAAGCTACACCAGCTGAGCCTGTAAACTTACGTGGCTTTCCTTTCCAGTGTTTGCAGGTTTCCCTTGATACTGTTGTACGAGTGAGATTTGGTCTTGAGGTCTCCGTCCATCTGTGATACTTGCTGTACATAGAAAGATCATGTGACAACAAGAAAGGTCACGTGACAACAAGAAAGGTATTGTGACAACAAGAAAGGTCATGTGACAACAAGAAAGATCATGTGACAACAAGAAAGGTCATGTGACAACAAGAAAGGTCTTGTGACAACAAGAAAAATAAAATAAGATTTGATGAAAACGTTTCTTTTTATAAACGTTTTCTATATTTTAGGGGTGAGTAGATGGTCTCCTAACCCGGAGGTCAAACCAAATCAAAACGCTAGTGCCCTTTGGAAAGGCATTGATCCTCATTACAAAGTCCCTCAGAGAGGACTTAAAGCCATCAGTCCTCTGGTTGTTTACTTACAAGCATACACATGCTCTGTTAGCAGTCAGGTAAAACAAACAAACAAACCAATGTGCAAATAGAAATAACCCGACAGTTCCTCTGGCAACACTTGTTCCAAACTTTGTTTGTCACAGAGAAAAGGGCTATGGTTACGGTTGCAATTGGGTCGTAAGTTTGGTTAGGGTTAGGGTTAGGGTTAGGATTAGGATTGCTGTTCAAGGCATGATAGAGAAAAAATAGCGAGATTCACTGAGAAACTTTATAAGTAATTTTCTGTCGATCTGTGATACTTGCTGTACAGAGAAAGATGATATCACAACAAGAGAGAAGCAAAATAAAATTGAATGATAAAGTATTATTTTACTTCAAATTTGTTGATACATTTAAATTAATTTAACAAATAAATGAATTGGAAAATGAAACGTATGAAAGAATGAATGAATGTTACACATACCTTGCTAATGATCTCAGCGATGCTCTTTAGAGGCAGTTTGATAGGATATTTAGCAACATCCCACTGGAATCTGGTTACATACGTGCTCAAGTCCACTAGAAAATGAAATCAAATAAACACAGAATTAAAGATAAAGTTGAGTTCTGGTCATGTGATTGCATTGTGAAAGAAAAGGTGTGGAATGGATCAGAACAAGTTGATCATGTAGCATGTAAGTATTGATGTGCACTGCAAGGTTCTGGAGTCATCAAAATCATAATAAATTTGGCCCAGTCTTGGTAAAGTAACAAGCTTTGTACACAGAAAGATGTATATGGGACTACACAAATGGTGTCGGGGGCTAGTACTACCTGATTTTCTTATCTTTCTATGCTCATTACTCAGCCAATATACATTTTCTTCCAAAATTGTTTGGCACATGACATTTATTTGTAATCTTGAACATTCAGTGTAAGTTTCGTTTGATTCTGTGAGAATTAAATTTCTTATTTTTACCAGAACTCACCTTTATCTGAACACTAATACATGTGTATAATTATACATAGTAATCATAATAATAATAGGCATTTCTATAGCGCCGTCTATCTAGAAATTCTATTCCGAGGCGCATTTATTATTACCCGGCTTTAGCCTAGCTGACATTATAGCGCTCCAGCATTTCAAGGAATTAATTCCTGCCAGGTACCCATTTACATCATATATCCTGAATATGTCATTTGATATTGCACCTATTCCAAGTAGAACTATAAATAAACCAAAAGATATCAGTTGAAGGTAAGGACATAGGAAAAAAGGAATACACTCTCCTGAATATTATTTTAAATTATGCACAATATGCAATTTATAACTGTTACGTTAAAAAGATTGTCACTGGTTCTGTTATTTACCCAAAATTACCTGCATGCTTTGTTTTTTCAATTCAAGTCGTTGCTAAGATTATTTAAGGTATGAATGTGTTTGCAAAGAAAATGATACTAAGCTGGAAGAACTGTTAAAAATATGCTTTAATTTTTAGCCAACATTAATTTCCATTCAATCATTGAGTAATCTATGTAATTATGTATTGAAATTATGGAAATAAAAACCTCGCTTGAGGAAAAGAGAAAAACATGATATATATTAACCACTGATGGTACGACGCCAACTCACATCTCCATATAATTGCTACAAGAGAGTATATTTTAAAGAACCCTCTCACCCTCACCCCCCCCCCCCCCCCCCCCCCCAGGGATGCCAGTCAGTTTTACTCACTGGGCCTGAAAAGAAGCCAGAACACGTTTAATCCCCATATGTGGTGTACAATAAAAAGCCTGAAATAGGAAGTTGTCAGGGCCTGAAATCAGGCAAAAGCCTGAAGACTGGCATCTCTGCCCCCCCCCCCCTCTCTCTCTCTCTCTCTCTCTCTCTCTATCTCTTCCTCTTCCTCTCTCTCTCTCTCTCTCTCTCTCTTCCTCTCTCCCTCTTTCTCTCCCCCTCTCTCTCTCGCTCTCTCTTCTTCTCACTCTCTCTTCCCCTCTCACTCTCACTCTCTCTTCCTCTCTCACTCTCTCTATCTTACTCTCTTTCTATATCTCTCTCTCCCTCTCACTTCAACTCTCTCTCCATTGATATATCCTTGCTATTATAAAAGAGTACATTTTAACCCCTTGCCTACTGGAACCGGGCGGCTCCTGTATTAAGCCTATGTGAATGTGAGAACTCAGTAGTCAAGGGGTTAAAGCACCACAATGATGATGATGACTTACTTCTGTTAGCCATGAGATTCTCTGCCAGTCTGTCCTTCTGATCTTCCAGAACTTCTCCAAGATAGTGAGCAAGCTTGTGGGTGATACTGTGAGAGGGGGAGGGGGGGGGGGGGAGAGGGGGAGAGAGAGAGAGAAAGAGAGGGAGAAGAGTGGAAGGGGAGAGAGAAAGGGAGAAACAGAAAGAAAGAGTGAGGGGAGGGAGAGAGTGAGAAATAGAAACAGAGAAATGACACAAGAGTGACAAATGAAGATAAAGGAATAGAAACACAAAGAAATTTAAAGGAAGAAATGGATGAAGAGATTTCAGATATATTCAGTACTGAAACATTGTTTTTCATATCACTTTCTGAATAAAAATCAAGTTTCTCTTCGCAATTGTTATGTATTCTTGTGTGTTTGTTTTGCTTAGTATAATTTGGTGTTGCTTCTTATCCAGAGCTAAATTGCATTGATGCCTATCTCCAGTGTTTTTGCATTCAGGAAATAAACCATTTTAACTTAATTCTCGCTAGATGTTTATAATAACTTCTTATTCCCTCTAGAGGACACACCACTGCTTCCATTTACATGTAACTCCTAGTCACTAGTACTAATGTGCAATGTCCTTGAAGTTTTGAAGACCACATACATGTACAGTACATGTACAAGTAGATGACACTGTGCTTACTTATCTACATAGGAATCCAGTTTCCCCAATTCATCTGAGAGTCCAACCAACGTGTCCAACGTTCCGACTTTCAGGTCAGGGATCGGGAACTTGAAGTTCAGCGACAGATCGAACCTCACGGTGGCGCCATTCAGTCTCTCCCATGTCTGCTGACACGTCTTCTCGCCCGGCGCCGAGATCAACCAAAACTCACCGCTCATCTGAAATAAGAACATTGAAAGTTGATAAATTAGCTTTGAAGGAGTGTTAAAGCGGGACTGCACTACTTGCAGCTACTTGCGCCCCTATATAGCAAACAATAGCTAAGCGGTACTCATTGATCATGTCTACTGACACGTCTTCTCGCCCGGCGCCGAGATCAACCAAAACTCACCGCTCATCTGCAATAAGAACATCGAAAGTTGAACAATTCGCTTTGAAGAGATGTTAAAAGAAAAGGTTGAATTCTGGTAAAGGTTAAAGAGTATCCAGAACTGAAAACAAGATTTGCTCTTGAATCTGATGTACAGTAAGGGGTCCCATGAGGCTATACTGTATTAAGCTTACTATACTGTATTCAAAATATGAGCTTCAAATACTACAAGATTTTGCACTTACATGTACTGTAAATACATTCTAGTGAACTGTAAGAAGTCTTGTTGAGTCCAGTTAACACATGTACGCACTTGCATAGAATAGGGCTCGCACAGAACCCAAGCCAGAACTGGGTTCTGTCACTTCTGTGCGTGACCTATACGCAGGGTTTTGATGTTATCTTTATTTCTTCATACTCTGTAACCATTTATCTGTATAATGCCCAATTAAGTTTTGTTAAGTTGAAGAAATAAATTCTAGCTGTATACACACGAAATATTGCAGTTGCAATGCAAAACTTTCAAACTTTGCTAATCTACAGTGCATCTGCCTGGCCTGAAGTTCTACCGTAAATTGGTCTGGTAAAAGACTAGCTAGCTTGCATGGTTGAGATTAAAACTACCGTACTCTAACTTTAGAAATGTAAGTTAGGTGGCATCGATAGATTCGATACACAATGCACATTTTTCACAAAATTGCTAAGCTACTTTCCGGTAGATTTAGAATTAGATCTTGTAAATTACTATTGAGCTTGTACATGTATGATTACTTCTTTTAAAGCACACTGCAGTTACATGTATATTAAAAGTTATGAGTTGGCCAGTTGGCCTGCAAGTACATGTGTATTCAGTCCAATGCCACGCTTTTGAAGCATTGCCAACTTGCTTTCGTCTGTAGAACATAATTAGGTCTGGTAAGAGACTAGCTTGCTTACAGTATGATTGAGACCAAGAGTACAGTTAGAGCAATGAGATTTCCTCTCTCTTTCTGTCACTTCCTCTCTATCCATGTCATTATGACAGTCACAGCAAAACACCTAACATTGAAAATCGTTTTAAAGGGATCGTTAAACAATGTTAAATCTGAGATACATGGCCCTACGTGTTATCAGCGTCTGTGATATGATGTAATATTGAAGCCCTAAAAAAATTGCGCTTGAAAATGATCAGGAAGTGCCTCTAAAAAGTAAAAATCTTTAAGTGACGGACCGGTTTTACCATACTCGTTTCCCCAGTGGACTGTACATGTAGTGTTATGAAAACTGTTTGGCAAACGGTTTTCAAAATTTATAATTCCAATCATAAATATCTTGATAATCAGACAGACTGATTATCTTGATAATCAGATCGGCTTGTACAAGTCATGGGGTTCCTGACTGACCTAAAGGTTTATAATTATCATTACAGCATGAGCTAAATCCAGAATTTTTATTCAGAATCTGAGACAAAGTTACTGATCCCTTTAAACCTGAAACGTACAGTATAAAAAAAACAGCAATAAAATCATTGAAGCAATTCCTTCCACGATATGAAATTATGAATGACCATTTTCATTTGATTTCATTTCCAGGAACATACATGTAAGGAGATAACAATAATAAAGAATACAAGAAAACGAATTACAATAATAAAGACATGGGAAATTGATTTTCAAAAGGTTAAAGTTAATAAATTCTGCTTCCTGCAATATATATGTATAGTGTTGATTATATTTTCTTCTCATTCTTCACTTTACAAGATAAAAGTAACATAATAATAATAATATTAAATTTTTATATAGTGCATAATACAAATGTCTCTTAGCGCTTTTAACATTAATTAAACCTTAATAGTGTAATTGAGTACATGTTTGTAAATGGAAGTCTACACCTGTGATAAAATGCTGAATATAAATTTCCTTCTAATTTTGTTCCGCTTGGTTTTCATCCAGAACTCATATTTTTTATCTTCAACATTTTCATCTCCACTTCCATGTTCCTATTTCTTTTGAAAACTTCCCGTTTCATTCCTCATCCACTCATTCTCTTTAACATGCTTAACTTTTATTACAATGTAGATCTTTATTCTCCTATTCCCTCTCCTCATAGTCATAGTTCAAATGTACTTTTGTATCTCTTCTTCTTCTCTTCTTCTTCTTCTTCTTCTTCTTCTTCTTCTTCTTCTTCTTCTTCTTCTTCTCCTCCTCCTCCTCCTCCTCCTCCTCCTCCTCCTCCTCCTCCTCCTTCTTCTTCTTCTTCTTCTTCTTCTTCTTCTTCTTCTTCTTCTTCTTCTTCTTCTTCTTCTTCTTCTTCTTCTTCTTCTCCTTCAACTTCTTCTTCTTCTTCAACTTCTTCTTCTTCTCTTCATCAAACTTCAGTATCACGACGACCAAGTGATGCATGATAAAGTGCAACACAAACAGGTAGATCTCATATGAAAAGTTGGAGTAACAGAACAAAATGAATTTTAGATCTAAAAAAAGAAGTGAAATAGATCTAAGTTAGATCTAAGTGAAGAAGTGAAAAAATTAAATAAAATTCTAGAGTCTAGAGTGCTCTAGATCTAGAGTCTAATTTATATTTCTAGACTCTTTTACTAACAAGCATAAAATGACGAGTAAATGTTCGCCACCTGGAAATTTCATTGCAAACAAATTTTATTCAAATAATTCAACCTCAAAATAAGGCAAAATGGATCTTCGACCTGTCACTTCACTTATAATCACAGAGGCTGTTCACACCGGCAGAGATAGCGCGGTCTAGCGCGCGCTATCTCTGCGGTGTGGAAGGTACAACGTCGTTTCGGTCCGCCCAACAGCGAGCCACGGCGAGCCAAAACGGCGTGCCAGTACTGGAGCACCTCTTGGGGGTGGTCCACGAGAGATAGCGCGGCCTAGCGCGCGATAGAGCGCGCGCTAGACCGCGCTATCTCTGCCGGTGTGAACAGCCTCTAAGTCACGAGCACAGGCTCGCGCTCGCTCCACCGGCAATCCAATTCACTTCGCTGGGGCCGCACCCCGACAACTTCACACGGCATGACACTACTGAAGCCCCACTGGCCACTCACGTCAACATGTCAACGAGTCGCATACTTACGGTCAATAATAAAGGTCAAATAATTAGAGATATCCCTTTATAACAGCAAAATTGTGTAAAGCAACTTCTTCCGTCTCTTTAACCCACTTTACACGTGAATCATCCAGCTCAATCCTGTAACATTCGAGTTTTCCAGCCTATATTTATTCTCGAATGATGTTAGATCGCAAGTCCCATGACCTGTAAGAAGTGACACGAAAATATTTCATTTCATGATGTGCGCACGTCAGAGTGCAATTGACAAATGCAAAGAAAACACTGCTGTGCAAACAAATGCAGCGCCGATGCATGGGGCCACAGCAAAATAAAATTGAATTCCTAGATGTTTGTCCCCTCCGCAGGGGCGTAGACAACGGGGGGGGGGGGGGGGGGGGGGATGAGGGGGATGCATCCCCCACCTCACAAGGTGGGGGGGGGATGGCATGTACAATCATCCCCCCCCCCCAGGTTTTGGGAATGATATTTGCTTACTTAATGAGTCATAATGATGATAATAATAGTATTAATAATAATGATAACAATTATAATATTAATAATAATAATAATTATGATGATGATAATAATAATCCTCATCATTATTGTAATTGTGTTAATTGTTATTAGCCGCATTCACACGGTGAAAGCCAATTCAGACGGTAAAAAAAAGAAAATCTTACAAGTATTTTGTGGTTATCTTGTGGTTTGGAAACCACAAGATTAATCAGGCGCGGATCTACGGGGGGGGGGGGGGTTAGGGGGTTTAACCCCCCCCCCCTTGGGCAGCCCAAAAAACGAACAAAACAAAATATAAGAAAAAAAAAAGAAAAAAAAAAAGAAAAAAGAACGCACGCTGGAGAGAAACCCTTTCAAGTGCAAATATTGTGAGAAGATATTCAACTCATCTGGTAACTTAACCAAACACATGATAACTCTGGATATAACTGTGTATTTAACTGTTACTTGATTTAAAAAGACGTTATCATGCACTGCTTTTTATGGTCTCCATTGTGTTAATAGATGCCAGGAAAACATCACTTACGGGGTTCAAATAAACACCCAAAAAAAAAATCGGTTCGCCGCTTCGCGGCTCGTGGACGATGCTCCGCATCGTCATTATTTTGGTCAACCCCCCCCCCCTTAGCAAAAAGCTAGATCTGCCCCTGAGTCATCCCCCCAGGTGTACGAACCTGTCTACGCCACTGCCCCTCCGCAACGTATGGGGGGGGGGGAGGGGGAGCACTTGCCATATTCCAATCGAGCAGCGAAAAACAAAAGTGAAATGGAGCTACAAGATAAAAGGAGGATAGGGGGGGGGGGGGGAGGGGGAATTGAAATCTCTGCACAACCCATCGGCTTATCTCATTTCATCCACACCCTATGATCAGCCCCCTCCCCCCCCCCCCCCCCCCACCATGGCTAAAACCATGCTACATCATTTTCTCCTGTTTCCTCTTCTTTCTCTGCCTCTCCCTTCTTAGCACTATAGTTTGTCTTTCCCCCTCTATGAGTCCCAACCCCCCCCCCCTTTCCCCCTCCTTCTCTCCCTCTCTCTCTCTCTCTCTCTCGTTTTCATCTCTCCCTTTTTTGTTTCCCTCTCCCCCCTCTCTCTCTCTCCCTCTTTTGTTTCCCTCTCAAAACTCTCTCTCTCTCTCCCTCTCTACATGACAATACAACAAACAAAAACAAAAGATTACTTCTTACAAATGATACTCTTGCCATTTTCTCTGCCTTCCCATTCTTAGCACTTGTTTGTCTGCCCCCCCCCCCTCTCTCTCTCTCTCTCTCTGTTATTTCCCTCTCTCCCTCTCCCTCGTTTTCCTCTCTCCCCCTTTCTCCCTCTCTCTCCCTCTTTTGTTTCCCTCCCCCTCTTTTGTTTCCCTCTCAAAACTCTCTTTCTCCCTCTCGTTTTCCTCTCTCCCTCTTTTGTTTCCCTCCTCCCCCCCCCTCTCTCTCTCTCTCTCTCTCTCTCTCTCCCTCTCTACATGACAACACAACAAACAAAAACAAAAGATTACTACATACAAATAATATTCTTGTATAAATTGCAAATACAATGTTATTCAAAAAAATGTTCAGTACAAGATGACACAATGTGGTATTTACATTTTTTTCTCCACATTTCTTTCTGTACGTAAAATTTAAGCTACCAAAGTGACAAAGAACGCATCAGAAACCAACAAATAATCTTGGTTTTTATCGACGCAAAATATAAAATCTTTAAAGATACATGTCACCTACAGTATTTCACTAAAATGAACCATTTCCAGTCTGGGGTAAAACCATATATCTACTTTTTTTCATTTTCCAATTTGCAACTCGTATATTTCAATTTTATTGCTACATTTCTATACCGGTACTTAAGTCATACATCAACAAATTAAAAGTGCATGTCAAATTTGACTTCTGATTTTTGTTCTTCAAATTGTTGTGAAGCAGACGATCTTGATACCTACCTATTTAAACACAATGTGATGATATTAAAATTTCCTTGAGTAAATAACAAAGTTGACAATTTAAAAAGTAACCAAATGTTAGGGGTTTGTGTACTTCAAACTGGTGGGGGTAGCACAGGTCAGATGTATCCACCCCCTCCCCCCATCCCCCTTCTATCATTACATATCAGCTTACACACAAATTTAGTTTTCACTTTTACTTTGCTTAATGTTCACTCTGTAACAAATTTTACATAAAAAGGTAGACGATTTGAAAATAAATGTAGATTAATAAAAATTTGCTCTCTCCTTTTCTATATAGCCAAGCTAAGATGCTTGTTTATCAATTTGTGATCTAAATTCAGCTTTTATGGTGCAACATGTCTTAATATGGCCTTTAAAAAAAGATGGTTTTCATTACAACTACTTTACAAGTTACAACTTAAGGGCTTACCAGTATTTAATTTTCATCAAAATGTATATAACATGAAAGATATGTTACAAAATGCAACCAAAAATCCCCTGCCAATTTGTACAAGAAAATAGAGATTATCAATTGATTCCACATTGCATCGTCAATTTTTATGAACATTATACTGCAACAGAAACGGTGTTTTAAAAAAAAGTCTGTGATTTTAGCTTTTTTCTGGTCATATATTATGTCAAATTCATTGCATTTTGCATCAAAATATTACACACAAACAGCATTAAAAGGTGACTCTAAGATGCTTTGGATTAAAGTGCAAAGAAAAGTGAAAAAGAATATTAAAAATAACATAAATAACGTGAGTCTAGAGCACACGGGATACACAATTCAATGACATTTTCCCTTTACAATACCAATACATGTACACGTTACAGCGCCATAAATAATTCCACTTACATTTGCATGAATTTTGCAGGGAGCACATATGCACTACTGAGGGGGTGTTTCACAAAACTGATCATCAGTGACATGTGACAGTTTTTGTTACAAGCTACTTAAGTCCTAGCTTCTGATTGGTTATTGGTTTTTGTCATTAGACATTGAAAAAAAGGCTTTGTGAAACAGGTCCCAGATTTTGGTTTACACAGGAAATGTGTGCAAATTTCAACAGTTGTTCAGATTTGCAAAAACTTTCAAACAAGACTATTGCTGTCGGTTACAAATAGCAAAGTTTCACATCACAAAAACCTCTGGTTTCATAGTATATTGTACTAATCACAAACAAATCTGTGACTGACATGACATAAACTGTTCATATCATATTCACTACCGGGTATTTAAAAGATTATTTGTTCATATAATTTTTTTTGCAATGTAAATACGTGCAGTGGGTGCATTATTATACTATGGAATCAAAATTATGTGAACTACACACAAATTAATCTCATCATAATTCAAATTATTTGTAGAACGTCTCCAGAAATTTCCAGAACAAAAGGAATAAATAAATATTATTTTCTTTGATAAATGCAGGAAATGTACATGAAGATATTTGCAAATACATGAACCAGTAAAACAGGTACATGTACATGTATAGCGATATAGACGTACGTACAACTGAAGAAAAAGATGAAATTTCAGAGGCAAATTTGAGGAAGTTTCTGACAAGCACATTTCCGGAAAAGCGTAAGACTTTGCCACATACAAATATAATACATCACAATACATTGAAACACAGACTATACCATACATTAAGAATTGCAAATTAGTCTTGATCAATGTTATCATTTTTTTTCTGTACATAAAAATCAGAATTATGAAAATACTTTTATCTCTAGTTGAAAAATACACAAAAATGATGCAATACAGTCTAATCCTCCTCCCACAAAAACGGTTCATACACATTTGATAATATTTCAATGATTAAAACAATTTTTTTTTTTTTTAAAGTGAGGCATACTAATACCATAATAGAATGAAGTCACTTTACATAAGCCTTGTGTGGTTTCCATGATGCAAAATAAGTATCCTTAAATGGTCCATGATATATGTCCCCCAAAACATATGATTTGATCCATTTCGTTCATCCAAAAAATTTTATCAATCTCTTGACCAATAATGAAAAAACGGTTCTTTCTGGTATCAGCAACATTATTAAAAGGGCAAGTGGATAGATTTCTCATTTTTGGTTGAAAGAAATGGGAAAGGACATGCCACATTCCACAGAATTGCCAGATTTAAAGAGGAATTACATGTTTTCTGAAAATGGATTGAACCGAGTCTGGTTTTTTTCAGACTACCTCTATTCAACTTTCATGCTCATTACATACCAGTTTTAATATTTTCCTCTTGAAGTTTGTTTTTTACAAATAAATATCAGAGTCCCTTACAAAAAAAATTATCTAACAAAGTGGGGAGATTGTAATCACTCTATACGAACCCTAACACCACACAAGTACATGTACAAACCTTCACTGTGACATCACAATGCCACAGCAAACCTTTACTGTGACATCACAATGCCACAAACGTATACTGTGACATCACAATGCCACAAACCTTCACCGTGACATCACAATGCCACAAACCTTCACTGTGACATCACAATGCCACAAACCTTCACTGTGACATCACAATGCCACAAACATATACTGTGACATCACAATGCCTCAAACCTATACTGTGACATCACAATGTAACAAACCTGCACTGTGACATCATACTGCCACAAACCTATACTGTGACATCATACTGCCACAAACCTTTACTGTGACATCACAATGCCACAGCAAAAACAAGTCATCAAGATGGTGTCAATTTACAACTGAGATTGCAACAATATCTTTCAAATGATTATTTTCAAAAAAAGTATCTACCATTCTCTGTCTAAAAATAGGTAAGAAACAATATACGATTGTGTGAAGAAAAAGAAATCATTAAAAATCGAACATCGATAAAAAAAACATAACAGAGAATAGATCATTGAAAGAAAGGCAAAATATACAAAATATAAGTTCATAAGTGATGGAAAAAAATGGTTTACAAGGTTTCTTCTCCTCAAGATATATTTTCTAATATGATGGCAAGTTATGACTACATGGGGGTTGTATGTACATTAGGGATATCATGATTGGTGTTTGTGTCAAGTCTTTGGTGTATTATCATACACTTTATGTTCAGGCTTGTATAAAATGGGTGTTGTGTATTATCACCACTCACATGGCTTCTAGCATGGCTTCAGATAAATGCTACATCAAAGCACCAAACACCAATCAATGTAGGTGTCTGTGATTCAGTGTATCATGATAGGTGTTAGGTATTGAAGGTGATAAGACTATACTTCATGTGTAGAGTCAACACATCACACCAGCACTGGACCATTAGCTTTGGTGTATAATTATACACTTTAGTAGGTGTTGTGTAACATCACACATATGTTTTTGAGCATGGTGTCAGATAACATGGCTCCAAACATTAACACCGAACACAAACACCAATCATAACACCACCCAGTCTGTCCAAAGGATAGAAACCATAAGTATTTCTTGTCCCAAAGTAACTCCTTAAATACACCTTACACTTTAGGAAAAACAATACAAGGTCGTTGCCTCTAAACGCATGATGAACACCTGGATTTAGAATCTTAAAAGATACAGTGGAACCTCGTTATAAAGAGCACTGATATAACAAGATGATTTTGCTGGCCCCAGCTCTTTATATTCTTATGTTTTATAACCTGATATAAGATTCCTGATATAACAAGGTTACAACAAAGTTCCACTGTATCTGGATGCACCTTTGAAATTTGACAGTAGATGTGTTCACAGAAAGTCGACTTGTTTAGAACAGATTTACACCAAACAACAAGTCAAGTCACAATCTGTCGATGAAAGGTAGACATTCAAACTGGACTTCAAACATGTTTCCTTTCCTGAAGTTTTTACTCTTTCCTGTTTAGTACAAATCATTCTGTTTGAAGCCAGAAGGCCATTAACTCATATACTTTAATACAGAGTTAATGCCCTTCTCGCTCTGAACAGACAAGTCTGTGATATTCTGTCTTTACAGAACAATACATAGGGGTGATATTTTCATATCATGGAGTATTACTTCAGTAATTCTCAAACTTTACAGATGACTGCCATAATTGCAATAACATTAGTCTTGATATAATGGACTTACATTACAATAAGAAAAACTTTTGTTTACAAGGATATCACAGCCACAGGGTGTTTGTGATTATGCATAACCTTTTGAGTATACATTGACCTTTGACCTATACAATGTTAAAGGTTATGGCCTGAAGAACTTCATGATGAAAAGCGATAAATAATGGCTGAATGTGAATGTCTCAAAACCTTAACTAAAATTTCGGCTACATCAATAAATACCAAGGCATGGTCTGTATAGCATATCATGAGTATTTATTTTCACATACTGAATCTTAACTACATGTATCAAAAGCATGAAAAATAGAGCTATAGTTTGAAAAGGAACTAAAAAACTGTGATGATATTTTTTCATAATTTAAGATAGTTCTGCAAAAGGAAATAGCAAATTAGACATTCGCAGAAGCTATTTCTAGATCGTGTTGAAGACCCTTTACACAAATAGGGACAATATCTAGGTTACGAAAAAAACAGAAACTCCTGAGTGCATGACGTTCTTTGCGATATTTTGCCAGTGGTTCAGATTATAAGCAGAAAAGTATCATGCCGAAATATCATTGCAAAAATTGATACAACACTAGATTTATGCCATTCTAGAAAGATTCTTCTGTGAAAATGGGCAGTTTCATGTCCCAAGAATTTATGGTTTTGCAGTGGCTTTCTGGATTAGATTTCACCTTTCCATTACTGTTGAAAAAGTTGCAGGAACACTCACATGCACATTTCACGGGAGACTTTCTAAACAGTGACATAAAGGGTCAAAGTTCAGAGGTCGTGTTCATCTTAGCAGATGTCAAGTCAAAGTTCAAAGGTGGGATCATGGAGAGCTATGGTTTCTAGGAAGAAGGGTTGTTGATGAGAGGACATTCAAATGTACATCCAAACAGGAGCCCTCACATATAGTGACATGTGAGGTCAAAGTTCGAAGTTCAAAGGTGAGATGCGATCATGGATAGCTATGGCTGTTATTTCTTGTTGTTGGTTCTAGGAAGAAGGGTTATTTGATGACAGGGCACTCAAATGTACATGCAAACAGGAGCCCTCACATATAGTGACATGTGAGGTCAAAGTTCGAAGTTCAAAGGTGAGATGCGATCATGGATAGCTATGGCTGTTATTTCTTGTTGTTGGTTCTAGGAAGAAGGGTTATTTGATGAGAGGGCACTCAAATGTACATCCAGAAGGGAACCATCACATATAGACAATAGTGACATGAGAGGTCAAAGTTCAAAGGTCAGATGCTATCTCAATGAGCTGTTGTTGCTATTCCTAGTTGCTGGATCAGGAGGAAGGGTCATGGGTCATAAGGGCGCTCATATGCAGATTTTGTGGATCATATCTCTCTGTAACAGAAAACATAAGCAGATGGAAATAAAAAATGAGATAATAATAATAATAGTGAACATTTATAATGCGCCATGTCTGTCAAAAAGGACACTCCTTTAGTACATGTTTAAATGAGAAACCATATTCAAGGGAAACAAAAATGTGGTCTTTGAAGACAGGTGGTTGTTAAGCGGGTTTGACTTTACTATGCCAGTACCAAAATGTCACTTATTGATTCATAGAGAATTAATCCCATAAATGGGCAGCATACTCAGAAAAAAGATGTGATAAATGTCATGAAATCTGGAGCAACCAAATTTGTACATAGCAACTACCTTGTTCCTGAGTCATACATATTTTTTATATTGAAATTTTAGTCATTTTGTGTATTGGAACAAATGGGAAAGTTGTACTGATTCAGTCAATTTGCAGAGCATGTACCTATACTGATTACAACATGTTTTTGTCTGATTTCATTCAAACTTCCACCAGTCTACTTCTCTGATTTGTATGCTTTTATCTATAGGGTAGTTTGTTATCAAGGTTGGATTTCTCTTTTACAAAGGATCCTCAACACAATTTCATATGCCGTATTTAATAGTTTTAGATAAAATAGCAAAAAATCACCCTCATTACAGGGACCCGTTTAACAAAGCCTTTTTTCAATGACAAATTACAAAAATCAGTGACAAATCTGCTGATAACCAATCAGAAGCAAGGATTTCACTAGCTTATAACAAAAACTGTCATTTATCACTGATGACAAGTTTAGTGGAATGGGGCTCAGATGTGTGTAGTTCTAACTTACCAACGGTTCTAGCTCCTTTGAATCCACAAGGTTGAACTCGTGTACGAAGAAGTAGAAGTGTTTGTAGCATGTGTTTATGTGTGCTTCCTGTAAACATAAGAAAAGAAAACGGAGAGGACTTTCAAGAAAACGGAGAGGACTTTCAAGTAATCTGATTTTTAAATATGGTCATGTCGTTTTTTCATATGCACTGTCGGTATCTTCTTACATCTTTCACCTCATGAAATAGTTTTACTATCTTAATGTCACTCACATCTATGAAATCGTTTTATACTATTTATTTTATTTAAACAATCTCAACAAGTCAATCAAAGTGATTGATGTAGACATGAATGAAAACTATATCAAATCTGGTCAGCATCTTCATGCATTTTTCACCTCGAGAAATAGTTAACTATCTCACTCATAATCATGAAATAGTATAGAGATATTGACTGCTTTGAGAGGCCTGGCTGTATTATATGCTTAAGGGAACGCGCGCACCTCCTGCCATGACCCTGAGGCATACCTGGGTGGGCGGCGCGCCGAGGGGTCATGGCAGGATCTACTAGTTCCCAAGAGCATATAAAGCAGCCAGACCTCGAATACTGAAGCAGTCAATATCTTTTATATGCCGAATTGAAACAAAAATCTATAAAGAATTCTTACCTTATCCTTTTATTGAGTAAAGATTGGTTAAAACATCACAGAAAATTTTAGACACTGTCTGTAATTTTTGCTTGAAAAATGACTGAAACTTTTAATCATTTTGGGAATTGCAGACAAAAAGCGCTGTATGGTGTCCCCGCTCGCACAAAGAACATTTTAACATGAAAACCGATGGGTATCGCACCAAAATTTTACTATTTACATGGTAACCGGAATTTTGAGGGATCTCACTCTTGGACTATTCACCGGTATTGCCATTTTACGTTTCTTTACAGGAATGGCTAAAATTACGACTCCAATTTCGACCAATCAAATGGCTAGATTTCTTAAGTGAGGTACATAATTTCTACTACTACTTCTTGTGCACTCACCGCTCCGATCTCGACAAGTTTATCAAAGTGATGGATGTAGACATGGATGAAAACTCTGTGTAATCTTGTTAGTATCTTCTTGCATGTGGAGACAAACGATTTAGGGAAACTCACATCTGTAGAATGTAAACAAAAACATGTATTCATATAATCTAGTTATAAATAATCTATGATTCTAGTAGGAAAAGAGTTAATGGTATTAATAATCATAATAATAATAGGTCAATTTATATAGCACAGCTCCTATATGAATATACTGCACTGAATACAAGGTATCATATTATAACCTTGGCTGTAACTGAGCTACCATAATAAAGCGCTAAAGCATTCAAGAAATTTCTTCCTACTGGGTACCCATTTACTTCACCTGGGTGGAGAGTGACAAAAGTAGATCAATGTCTTGACAAAGGACATTAGAGCCACGCGAGACTTGAACCCTGAACTATGTGACCCACAGTCCGGTGTCATATCCACTAGACCACGCCACCTCTAGCTCTACTAACAACCATCTCTTTCAATAGTTCATACCTGTGTTGATAGGGAAGATGTTCTCATTGTTGATGAGTTGTTCTACCCAGTCCATAAGCTTGTTGATGTAATCTGTGGCTGGTAGAGCAGTCGGTTTCTTGTACTTCTCCCCATCCATCCACATGTATTCATACCTACCAATGAAAGGTTAATTGAAACGTTAAATGATGTTAAAATTCATAGCTAAAGCTGTAACATGAAGTGAAACGCTAATTCTCTACTCATTTGAACGTATCCATCACTTTAACCCTTACTGTACTGGGGGGGGGGGGGCCTGGGAGGCCCCCCCCTCGACATTTTCGGAGATCGCGCCGCAACCGCTTGGAATTTTAAATTGTCGTTTCATGACTTTTTTCCCTCAAGTCTTGCGCACATTTTGATACCATTTTCGTCAAAATCGGATATACTTGTAAGGTGTTACATAACAATTAGTATGCGCATGTCAATAAAAAAAGCGCTATAATTGCATATATTCATGTACAAGCAGAAATGTGAAGATATGAATTGATATAAAATTGCTTTTATATGTTTCTCAGAGTAACTTGATGTATTCCAGAACAAAAGAATACATTAGAAATAAAACAATAGATATAATAAGAAATAAAAAACAATAAAATACATAAGAAAATAAATAGTAGAAAATCGCATCAAATTTGCATAAATTATCATTATTAATTACATCAAATAACTATTTTGTGTTAGAAAAGAAGTTTCATATGAATAATGAGTTTCAACATTCAAAAAGTGGAGTCTGACAATTTTTGTAATGATTCTAGTTCCCTAAATATAGTTCCTGATTTGATATTCATGAATGCGTAATTTGCATATTCATAATTTATGCAAATTAACCTATGCATTTTCAAATATCATAAAAATAATGAAACCTCATGAATTTGAGATGAAGGAAACATTAATTCAATACATTTTCAAGATTCTTCACAAGTCTACGGACAAATATGTAGCATTTTCTGTAAAATGCATAAAATTAGCATTTTGCATAATTAATTAGGCTATAACGACAAAAATTTGCATATTAGGAAAAAACTAATTATACCATCTTGTTCCTTACGTAAATATCTACAAATATGCAAATTTTCGTGTTCATCAGACATTCGACGGCCGAGATCATGGGGGGGGGGGGGGGGGGGGGGGTCAGAGGGTGCTCTGTCAGAGGGTGCTCAAAATAGCCCAGTACAGTAAGGGCCGTACACTTACTGCCGGACAAGTTTCTAAAATGCAGAACTCGGAAGAAGAAACATGAATCTAATCGCTAATTCTCTGTACTTGTTTGAACAAAGCCATACCCTTGATTTGGCAAAACATTTTATACTAGACGTGCTTCCGAATTGCAGAACTCCTACACTTACATGTAAGCTCAAGAATAAAACGTCAGTCTAAACACCAGTCCTACAATTATCTGAACACATTTATAGTCTTACCTGGGACCCCCACTCATAATAGGACATGTATCCGCACTGCAGTACTCGCAAACTGTCCCGTAAATGAGGTTAATTCTGTTGAAAAAGTCCACCACTAGAATCAATGGGAAAAATGAAGAAAAAGGGGGAAAAATGATAATAATATTAATAATAATACCGGTACTCAGTTTTTATATAGCGCTTATTACAATCACTGAGCACTTCCGAACTTGGAGATTATTACCCCGGCTTTAGCTGTGCTACCATTACGGCGCTCTAACATTTCAACGAATTAATTCCTGCCAGGTACATGTACCCATTTACATCACCTGGGTTGCCAAACAACGTTAGTGCCGCGGCAGGTCTCGAACCGCGGACCTTGTGATCAACAGTCTGGCTACTTAACCACTCGACCATGGCACCTCTACACAGGTTATTAATATGTCATTGTGTAATTAATAAGCTTGACCACTACTTCAAGATCAAGACCGGAGTTAATGCTGCGGTCACAAATGTTCGTACGAACGATAATTTTGTACGAATCTCCGTTTTTCCATTGTCTTCCGAATTTCCATTGTCTGAAAATCGTTCATACGGCGTTCGTAGCAATTTGTAATGGCATTTGTGACCGAGGTCTTAGTAAGGTCTTGGACTCTTCATCTCACCAACACTCAATTCTCTCCTATCTCCTATCTCCCTTCCCCCTTCCCCTCCTCTTTGACTCAAATTCACAAAGGAGGTTTGTCAACAAACCTTGGTTTTTGTGCATCATATGATGCGTTTTGATGCGTTTTTACAAACCAGGTTGGAAAAAAACGTGTCAAAATGCATCATATGATGTACATGTACTTAAACCTCGGTTTATCGACAAACCTCCTTTGTGAATTTGGGCCAACGTGTCTGTTATATCTTACCATGCACTGCAAGCCAATCATTGAAGTCTTCTTCTGCGGGTAGCTTGACCACGACTTTAAGATCAAGGCCAGAGTTTAGCGATGCTTGTGCCTTCTTGTGCAGGTTGAATCGCATCGTGCCGGACTCAAATTTCTTCTTCGGACGAAAAGTCTAGAAAAATACAAGATGAAAATTATAATTATACCGATAATATTTTCTTTCACATAATAAACAAAATAATAATTTTTTTCCCGATTTATTTCTCAAGAAGTTAATATAATGTACATGTACTTTGTCATTTGATTTTGAATGCAATTTGTAATGGTACATGTACAATGCAATGTCAAATGATATTGAGAAATTGTTGTGTACATGTGCAATTCAGCCATTTGCCGCAAAGCATTGTCAAATAAAACCATTATTGAAGTGAGCTGAATTGAATTGATTTGAACAAACTTTCATAGAGAAACATATCAGCAATTATATTATCTGTGCATCTACAATGTGTACCATAACATGTATTAAAGATAAAGACCAGTTATGGTCATGCGATTGCATTGTGAAAGAAACGTTGTGAAATCGATCAGAAAAGGTTGATCATCTAGCATAGATGTACTGCAAGGTTCTGGAATCATCAAAATGATAAGAAATTTGGCCCAGTCTTCATGAAGTTTTAAGCACTGTACACAGAAAGATATACATGTATATGGGACTACTCACACGTGCGTGACACGTGCGTTTTTATCTCTCACATGCCAATAGATAAACTAATTTACCAAATCTATCAATTAGTAGGCTGTTTCCCGGCAAAATTGTTATCATCATGTATTATTCAAAACATATTCTTTCACATGACTGGTAATAAGAGCTTCCATTTCATTTTTTGAAATTGGGGCGTTTCCAATACTGGTCTTTACCTTTAATGCATGTACATACATGTACATGTATGTATACATTGGGTATATTTACTCCAGGAGTTTCCTGGATCATAATTCTGATTTCCTTCCTTTATCACCAACACAAATACAGTATCATGAAGGAAAAAGAGTCTCCTCTTGGCTACTTTCCAAAGTGATGATTATTGTGTCAGTCCATTCTCAGATCTTTACAAAAACATGGTTGTACTATGTATGTACAGAGTTTCACACCAGCCATGTTTGGGGTCATTGAAAGGGATAGCTCTGTTCTAGAGGGTACGTGCTACACAAAATAATTTCTTTGTGAGATGATGAAAAAACTGAGTGTCAAATTTGAAAGAACATACAATTATTTTAAATGACAAATTCATCTTTGTTAGATCAAAAATCGGTTCAGAGATGGCTGAAATATCTATAAATATAGCCATTTCTAATATTTGTGTGCCACCACAAATATTGGATATCTTAATCCAGCCACTGAAAAAACGAAATAGCGCCTTATACGTTTTATTCCAGCCAATGCCGATGTTAGCTTTTGTTGGCTTTTTTGTGTTGGTTATAATACGCACAACCGGTTATAATTTACGCACAACCAGCTGGCCCATGTACCTGTATTCTTATTATTAATTAATTAATTAATTAACGGTTATTCTATTTACCGGTATTTATTTTTAAGTAGAGCTAAATTGGTATGATCGTATTGGCTAAATGTCACACATTTGGGGGTCTAAAATTACCTTCATAACAATTTCAGGTTGGGTTTTCCTTTGAATTGTATGTTGATGGTGAACTTGGGTTTTTGTCACATCTCCTGTTTTGTAAGACTACACATTCTGGCAAAATACACAACTCTACAATGTAGCCCAATTGCCCATGTTGATGATAAACTTGTCAAGAACTCCTGTCGTGCCAGTCTAGACACGGACTGGTAAAGTGTTTTGTATACAAGTGATTGGGTGATTAGAAAAACATCACTGCATCATGAGGAATAGGGGGATAGCGATTGACAAAGAGATCTTTGTTATGGAGATCATGACGGAAGACCTATCAAATTTCATGTACAAGTACAACCATGCCCCTCCCCCCCCAAAAGAGGGAAATTGCAGATAACATTTCACATAACATGATCACTTTTGTTTTTGAAGCATATCTTCTTCCTCTTTCGCAGCTGTACAAACATGGAAACATACACACAGTACATTTATAGTGTATAATACAAATTGCAAGGTGAACTTCCAAATGATGATTCTCCAAGTTGCATATTTGCCATACTTGTAAAAAATATACATGTTTAGCTTCCTTTTTGGGGGCCGCCTCCTATTTTTTTTTTTTTTTTTTTGAAATTTTTTAATCTCTTTTTCTTTTTTTCTTTTTTTTTGACAAATTTTTTTTGAAGAAAAAAAACATGAAAAACACTGCTAAAAAAAAAAAAAAAATCTTGGCGGCCATCTTGAAAAATTGCCTGACTTGTCAGGGAAAACGTACCGAGCGGCCATTTTGAGCGGCCATTTTGAAGGAAAAAAAAGGGCCTCCTCCTTCCTATTTTTCAAAAAAACAGGACGCTAAACATGTTTTTTTTTTTAAATTTGGCCTTACATGTACAGTATGTGTCATTGTTGTACAGTACATTAGAAATGTTGAATATACCTTGATACATTTTATAGGACACTGTTTAAGCTTCTTCAGATGCTTGTTCAAAAAGTCAGATTTTCTTTTACGTGTGACTGGCATTGTGGCAACTGCGTGGCGTGTGCGCAATAAAGGACTTGTGAGAGCCTACAAGTCGCATATAATATGCACTAAAAACAAAACTGTACATAATACTGTGCATAAATGTGGTTATTTCAGATGCCAATGTAGACGAAGGGCTGTAGTAATGTACATGTACTATATACATGTACATGTACATGTACAGGTACATCAATCAGTACATTAGTCATGAGCCAGCATAACAATAGTAAATGACTGAGAGTAAACACGGATACACATAAATGTATATCGCTATTATCCTTGGTGTAATAAATTGATGTGTGCATACACATTGTACAGGTGTACATAATACAGACAAAATGTAAAAAGAAAGTGTACTTTGTTGTAATGAGCAAACTTGTAGACGATTCTCTAGTTTGGTCTGGAAAATAGGGGTTGTTACTCGAAACTGTCATAACTCTAACTTCTTGAACATCCCACTGAAAGGTGTGTTATAGACTAATTATCAGTAACACATGTTTCTGGGAAACCAGGGCCTGGAGTCTACATGTATGTGGACACTACATATTTTAATGTGCATGCATGTACCAGCATTTTCAACATGGCAGAGATCTGATGTCTCCTCGGACATTTAAGCCCTTAGATCTCACTAACAAATCAATCAATGGTTAATCTGCGAATGTAAAAATAGTTTTGTTTTAACTTTTGATGCCTTTTGAAGTTTTGATCCAGAATTCTATGACTTAAAACGTACAGGAATATGTCGAGGAAGGATTTCCATATTGAACTGTTTACAGTCTGTATGCATTTGGTCGTTAGTCGAAACGATAGGATACTTCACCGGCCGCATCTCAGATTTCAGTACGTGTGCTATCTGATTACTGTATCAAGCTGATAGTCTTAATTAAGAGCTTCAAGCTAATATCTCTAGCATGCACAGAACTTGAAACTATACCCTAGTTCATAAAGCCTTGAGCAGAGCCTAAACATGTCAGTCTCTGTCTGTCTAACTGTAACTAGTGTGAGTGGCTAATGTACTAGGCTTGGGAGCGAGAGCCGAGTACCCGACTCTAACCGATTCTGAAATCCAGAACCGAGGAGTCGACTCCAATCTCTAGAGAGTCGATTACTCGAGCACGTCGGTTCCGAGAAAAGGAGACTCGGTTCCAAGATAAGAACCGAGTCTTTGGCGCTGGAGTCGACTCCACAGCACCAAAATTCAAAGAGATACTTTGCAAAAGTGAACGAAGGAACATTGCCCGAACGAACTGGTGTCGATTCCACAGCACAGAGAATGAACAAAATCAGCTCTGTCAAAGCAGAATGCATGGGAGCGATGGGCGCACTAGCAGCATGCTGTTTTGATACACACATTTGTGTGTGTACCTCCTTCGTAGTACCAGGGCTTGTTAGTACTGTGCATCAGAGTGAGATGTGTGTGCTATATGTGTATAGCACTGCTGCATGTTGTCTGTAACTGCCCCCCCCCCCCCCAGCTGAACGTTTGACCTTTGGTGAATTGCGCAAGAGTCTTGGAACAATGGCCCCATTTTCTCTCCTCTTGGAGCGTGTGATCAAGGAGTTGATTCATGTTTTCTCTCGTGCGCAAACTGATTTATGTGACTTTGTGTTTGCTCTCTCTCACTCTCTCTCTATCCCTAGTCTCCCCTTCCCCTAGACATCAAACGTTTAGTTTTCTTCCTCAAATAAACTAAATCACACAACTCACAATTTCCTCCTCCTTTCTCTCCCTTGAATTCTCCTCATCAAGTTTTATTCTTCTTAAAAATAAGTTTGACAGGTCTACAATTTACATGTACATTCCCCCACCCCTATATCTTGTTTCCTTCAGTTATTTTGTTTTCCTTACAAGAATAAATGTGGCAGGTCAACATCTCCCCTTCTCCCTTTCTCTCTCCCTCTAGCATCCCCTTCTGTTATTATTTTTGTCTCAAGAATAAGTTTTGCAGATCTACATCTCTCTGTCTTGTGTTCTTTTGGGGGATATTTAAACAAATATGAATAAGTCAGGCAAGTCAAGTGTCCCCTCTCGCTGTGGCATTAGCGCAATCTCTAATAGTGGCTGAAAATGCAGACTAGTTATTCTGAAACCAAGATCTAGCGCTGTTATCTGTTGTTTAGAAAGCACGTGGTTAGTAGTAACCATGGGAATGGAGTGCCACGAGCTGGGGCTGGGGTCATTAAAGTTTTTGGGTGGCATTGGGCGGGCGAGCGGCCATGTGAGCATGAGTTATTTACACTTAGCTCTCAGATAAAGGTTGGTCCCTGGGAGGAGAGCCAGCGGACCAGGCATGTTTCGGATACATTCCATTTATTTTAGGCAGGGAATCAGAATCTTTAGTTTTACATAATGGATTGTTTACCGTAATATTGGAAATAATTGTTCTGCATTTCTTACATTTTAGCAGTGTAAGTACGAGTTGATTATTCCATCATTCTATGTTGAAGTTTAGAATTTAAATTAGACCTAACATGTTTTTGTTTGTTTACATTGTTGCCAAGTTGCCATGAGTTATTAAATAATTAATTACTTTATTAGCAGTGGTCATGTTTTTTTCTCGATTTGATCGAAAGTAGTAAAATAAATCATTTCATAACTGTTTATGAAGGTCTGCACTTTGATCTTCTTTATATATTGTTTGCATGTAATTGTAGAGATATCATGAGACGAAACAGATATAAACAAAACATCAATTTACACACACAAGTCACACATACATTCATACTTTTGATACTCATTTTTAAAAGTAAAGTTTTCCAAAAAAATATCTCAGAAAATCATCTGTTGCTATCGGTGCCACTGCTGAGTGGAGCCGACATGCACAGTACATAACATACAGTGTGTAAACACCTCCCTGGTGTGTGTGTGTGTGTGTAGCCTTTACAGCATTGTGGCTTCAATTACATGTACAGTATATGGCAGCCAGCGGGAGTCGATTCCACTTGGAACCGAGGCCGAGAGTGGGAACCGGAGTCGGTTCTCATCAACAAGGGAACCGCCCAAGCCTATAATGTACAGTCTAGAGCCTAATGTACATTTAGTCTTTTTTAAAGTATGGAATGCCAAGTGTCTATATGAATATATTTTTGAATAATTTAATCTGTCACTTAATTAAAATAAGTGTAATAACATAATCAGTAAATTATGTTATCATGGTAATTTAGGGGCATTAACTTATTCAAAAATATATTCATATGGACACTTGGCATTCCATACTTAGTCGGTGGATTATAAAACCATGGACTAAAGTTAGTCAGCTTTTGAGAATACCACCCATAGTGCAGACTAGGAGTAAGAGGCTTGCCCAGTGCCAACCACATGGATCAAAAACACTTGTGTCTTGGCGAGCAGAACACCATACAAACAAACCATATATATGATCCGTATCTATAGACGTACATGTACATGTAGTACTGGTCAGGAAATGCGAAGAGGAAATGGACAAGACTATAGATCCTTCCTTGGCTAACCGCCTCAATCAATATTAAAGGCACTAAAGAGAAAAAACATGAGTGCTATACAATATAAAACTAATTATTTGTTTATATAGTTTTATTATTATTACCACTTTAATAACTAGTTTCACTTTTTTAACAACATTACATATTTGATTATGCTATTTGAGTTACAATGTAAACTAAATTTAAAAAAACATTGTCATGGTTGATAATGATCTAGGAGACATGGATTTTTACTTCTGGCATGTTTTAAAAAATTGTAACATTTCTTTTAGTTCCAAATTTTCATGTTTATCAGATGTTGAGCATTCTTTGTCATTGGTAGTTTCCAGACATCATTTCAACCAATCACCTTATTTTTTGTGTGATAAACATTTCTTAGCCAATAAGATGTCATCATTAGCTTTTTGTCACCATGGTGGAACTTGAGAAGTACATGTACATGAAAATGAAAGTTCATATGAGGTTTCGTGTGTGATGTAGTGTTTGAGTTTCATTTTACTCAGAGGAAAATCCTTTTGGAAAGGAAATTCTATATTCTAGGAAAGAGAGAGTGACAAAAAAGACAATATAAAATGTATCAGGCCCTTAGCCGGACATGATAGAAACGACCAACAGGAAATACACATGTACACAGTTCAGCAGAAAGGAAAACTCCACCCTATACATGTAGATAAAAGTGTTGATTTCAATTCTCATTACTTTCTATACTATAATCAATTTAATCATCACCATTTTTGGAAATATGATAGAGTCTTACCAAATGGAAAAATATGGAATTGCAAAGCAAAACTATAGTACAATTTGTAAATAATAATATAAAATGTACCCAAAATCCTTTAGACTAAAGAGGGATTGTGTGGCAATCCAACCCTTGTAATAAGTTCATATGAATGAAAACAGACAAAAAAGAGTAACAGATGTATAAGTTAGAAATAAAGCAAGATATATTGTGTATTATTATTATTTGTGTTAAAAGTGGAATTCTAATGAGGCAAAAGCAAGTGTGTACAGGTACACCAGTAATTTAGTTGGAATCTCAGAGCCTGGGGTACTTAGAGACTTCGGTGGTAAGCGCTTTATAAGCACCGTTTTTATTAGTATTATTTAAATCTTCTTCTCCTTCTCCTTCTCCTTCTCCTTCTCCTTCTCCTTCTCCTCCTCCTCCTCCTCCGCCTTCTTCTTCTTCTTCTCCTTCTCCTTCTCCTTCTCCTTCTCCTCCTCCTCCTTCTCCTCCTCCTCCTCCTCCTCCTCCTCCTCCTCCTCCTCCTCCTCCTCCTCCTCCTCCTCCTCCTCCGCCTTCTTCTTCTTCTTCTTCTTCTTCAGCTAAATTAGTAAAAATGAGGAATAGGGGACCTGCCAAAAATGTTGTCAAAATGATATATCCAAAGATGTTTATATCAGACAACCTTCTTCTTCTTCAGTACGTGTCGACAGACTTGTTAGCTCATGTCAAGACACGGAAACGTTAGGAGGTGAGTTGGCTCAGTCGGTAAAGCACCTGCCTGTCGAACCAAAGATCTCGGATTCGAATCCCACCCAGGCGGATGACTGAAGCCTGCGTTGTGTGTTAACGTGCCCCTCCCCTTGTTTCATAGTTGCAGGCTATGTTAAGTGGAAAACACAGTAGGGGGAAACCCCTGTGTAACTATGGTCCACCTGCCCACCCCAATCAGGCCAAGTATACAGCATCTGCAAGAATCTTCAGTATTGAAGGAGGCAGATTATCTTACAGAAGAAGAAGAAGTTCTTACACACTATTACACAATCCGCTCTGATCTTTGCTGCCCGATTATTTGATTCAAATGATGTCAAGTTGGCCAAGAAATGTCATCACTGACTTAATAATTACAGAGCTTTTGGCTTCGCAACTCGTTGCTGGCGCTGATGAAGTTGCAGACAAAACTATGTGCAAATGAGTATCAGCACTTTATTATTGTCATTCTATAACAGAAGAAGACTAACTTACACTTAAAGTTTCTAGGAATCCCATCTCTATTCTTCCTCCTTGGATTGGAGGCTGGGTGTGCAGGTGGTCCACTGTCTATAGTCCACTACAACCATGACAACGGGCTAGGTTTTCCCTTACTCTTATGCGGATAGTGCCAGGGGTTCTTAACTTGCAAAGGTGGTGACTGTCCTCTACACAGGGCTTCTATTCAACATCCTATCCTAGGGACGGAGTGTTTTCCACTTAAAGACACTCATACTGTTTTCACACTGGCAATATTTTGCTTAACCCCGTACTATAGGTGGGGTTAAGGTGGGGTTAAGGGGGGGTCTTAGCCCCACCTATAGTACGGGGTTAAGCCTATTCCACTTTCTGTTCAGACTGGTTTTTACCAAAGTGGGCTAAAGTTGGCTAACCCCACCTATAGTACGGGGTTAACTAACCCTGCAAAATAGCAGGGCTAACTCCGCAATTGTGGTGCTAACTTCTGCTAACCCCGCAATTGCGGTGCTAAGCAAATGAATGAGAACAGAAACGAAAAATAGTCCGGTACTACGCAATGGAGCGTATCGCAGCTGGCCAGATGCGAAGTATGTCCAATCATAACATACACGATATCCGGGGTTAACGAAATGCAGTGAGAACAGCGGGAATTTTCTTATTCCGGAATAGGCGCTAGTATGGGACTAAAAACAGCGAGTGTGAAAAGCCAAAAAAATAGTCCGGGGTTAAGGATAGTACGGGGCTAAGCAAAGTATGGGGTTAAGCAAAACCAGTGTGAAAAGAGTATCAGTAGTTAGCTCTCATGGGGAATTCAACACCGTTCGGGTGTTCACCCAATAAGAGGTGCTGTCAATCACCAGAATTGGCCTTCAGTTTTATGACCACCAGGCCTTATGTAACGTACTGCGTTTTCCACCTATTCCCCCATATGGTAAAGTCATTATCTCACTTTTCCGACACCCAAAGATTCTCGATAGATGAGGGGGTATTTCTTGATTGGGGTTTGCTGTGTGCAGACCTAATACCTATACACACGGTAATGATTTTTATTATCCACCAAGTCTGGTGTCAGCGAATTATGGCCTTCTACACATGGAAACTGATGACGAGTGACTCCCTTTAAAGACCGTCAACCCTACTGGGCCATAAGGGATTAGACCACACAGCGAGGTCACTGACAGGTGGCTTTCTCATTAACTCAGCTCTCAACTAACATAAGAAATAGAGGATCATGGGGGACCAACAGGCACCGATTGGAGAAGTTAGAGGGAGCAAGTACAAGTAGCTACATACAAGTAGAACAGTGGGGCTTTAATATACTGTAGCATGCGTTTATGAAACAGGGGCACCGGCATGTTAACCATGTTATTGTTAACACACAAGTGACACAACGCAGGCTTCAGTCATCCGCCAGGGTTGGATTTGAATCGAACCAACGGTCTTTGGTTCGACAGGCAGACGCTTTTACTGTTTGAGCCAACTCGCGTACTCACCTCCTCTTCCTTTTCTAGGCTAATTCTATATTTGCTATATGTTGATGATTGTTGATTGATACTAATTTTTGTATAGGTCTAGTCTTTTCCCCATAGACATGATAGACTATCCCAGCATAAACATTTCTTGAATCCCAATTCCAACCAGTCGTAAAAACAAAAAGTTTGATTTGAAAAATTCTGAATTTTCATAAACATGACAGCTATACAAATCATATTGATATTGTTGTTGCCAGTTATGTGGTTAGTAATGGACAATCAACACTCACACAGACATTAAAGTTGAACAACATTCACAACAATTTCATTGAAAGAAAGCAAGAATCATGATATTGTCTAACTGTTAGACTTAGAGTTTGATCCGTATTAAAAAGGGTTATTTCCTCAACAACAGTCAACAGACAGAGCATATCATTCACACATTCTTAGTCTTAACTCTTACTTTGTTTTTGGCAAAGAAGGGAAAATCCATGATGATCGTTGCTAGCTTTCACAAGAGGTGGAGTTTCAACTTTTACAGCAGTAGATCCACCAGATGTACAGTACACGGGAACGGGTCTATTTCCTCGATCGGAAGTCAAATCACTTCTTTTTTCTTAAGTATTGACTATTGTGTGTTGTTGTATGGTGCATATACTGTACGTGCTTTTCCTGATCGTAGTACAGCTGATATGAGCAGCGCATGCATGCGATGCAGGCTTTTCCATTTTGCATTTTGGATTAGCGCCATCTCTTGCCAAATACAAGACAGTGAATTTCCTCCTTTTGTATATTTCTGTTTTTATTTCATTCCCCTTTTTCCTCCCCAAGATTAAGAGCTAGAGAGAGAGAGAGAGAGAGAGAGAGAGGGGGGGGGGGGGGGGGAGGGGGAGGTGAAAGCTAGGCAGACTATGGTGGCGGATCTAGGGGCGGGCCCCCTCCCCTAGCACCAAAACAGGAAAATTTAACATTTTTTTAAATAAAAAGAAGACGCCCCCCTCCTCCCTGGCGTGAGGGGGGTGGGGTGGTTGGGTGGGTGTTGATTGAAAAAAGTGCTCACTACCCCCCTCCCACCCCTCCCCGTCGAGCAAAAAAAAGTGCCCCCCTCCCCTCCCCCCCCCCCCCCCCCCCCCGTTTATTTGCCGGCTGGCTAATTCGCCACTAAATATTTTCTCACGAATTGGGCCCCCTATTTGGCCCCCTCCCTTGCCGCCGGCTGGATCCACCCCTGCCAACTCATGCGTACAATAATATTACCCCGATGTGTTTTCCATCATCATCATCGGATGTCTTTCCTAAAAGGTAATTTCTTCATTTTTTTCTTCAATGGCAGCCCCATAAAGCTCCCTAAAAGGAACAAAATCTTTGGACGTTTTTAACATTTTTTTTTTTTAATTTTAATTCTTTTCCCCTTTGTTCTGCAATACGAAGGGGTGTGGCTGTCTTCTCACCGGCCCGGGGGCATCTTACCCACTCATGATCAATGATTACCCATCCTGCACTAATATAATAGTCACCTTCTTCCCTAGTCATATTCAAAGGCTCCGGAGGAGGGAGGGGGGGGGGTTACCATTCCCACAATTGTATGTCTGATCCCGTGTTTGGATTAATATTATGATATCCCACATCCAAAATTTTGCAACACAACTATTGATCGAGATTATACAAAAAGGGAGAGATGGAAGGAGAAATAGAAGAGAATATACCTGGAGAAAAGAGAGACGTGCAGATGTGAGAAGGGAAAGAAGAGCGGGAAGCCGCAATCGTTTAGAGAATCGGGGAGAACAAAACGGGACAGGATAAAGGAGGAGAGAAAAAGGAAGGAGAGGAATTTGGAATCCGTAAGCCAATTACGGATACACTTGAGTGACTAGCCTCATCATGATTATTGTTCATAGAGGATACGTGCGAAAATTATAGTGCTACATAATAGAGTTAATAGAGTGTAATAAATTAATTGTGTTTTGGAAAATTGTAACTCGTTAGATAATCCATAAACATTTTGATTATTTTTGCTGGATATGTTAAACATTTGAAAACAAATTCTAAAACGAAAGCAAATGTTAATGAAAAATAGGTAAAAACTTTGATTAATATGCCAACATAATTGATTCCTTTTTATTTAATTTTTTTCTTTTTTTCATGCAGTGGGTTAGATATAATTGTATAAGCATGCAGCCATGAGCTCATTGATAATGGGCCTAAACCCAATCCTGATCACTACTTTCTCTTTAGTTTATTTTGGTATTGTATTGATGAAAATGTATTATTTTTGTCATCTTTATTACCATATTGTACTTGTCATACCTGTTCGTTTGGCTCATTTGTATATTTACCGTATTTATAACTGTATTGTATAATTTGTAAACATGTTTAGTTTAGGTCCTTGGACCTTTGAATCATGTATTTTTATGTCTTTTTAAATAAATAAATAAATAAAATGCCCGAGTTGAATGGAAGCTTATCATATTTTTATATCTATCAAAGGGTGTTTTCCAGACCAGGATGCCATCAATTCATTCATTTCATTTCACTTATACCCAATTTCAGATACATTGTAAACGTTTTTCAATCAGCATAACTAAACCGTTTGGTAAATGGGGCAAACATAATTATAGCAAAAGCTTGTCAAGGTTGGCGCCGTTAAATACACTACAATCTGATGATTCATGGAAATAAATAAATCACAACTCAGAATTAGCATAATTATATCATGAAGATCATAAAGTACAAACCGCGATAACCAAATTTAAAGGACTGCTTCAAATTAATAAAACAAACAAAAAAGACAAGAAAAAAGGTTTGCGCGCTTATACATACCCCAAGGAAAGACAATAAATAATGAATGAATGAATGAATAATAAAAGTGGCTAGATCTAAGTATTAAGTAACTGACATTACGAAGTGAAATGTACAGAAATGGTAGAATTGTATCATCATAAATAAAAGCCAAACGGTTTTTGCCTGGGGGCAGTATCCAGAAGGTTCATTCAAATCAAAGCAGCAATGAGAAGAAGTTTACAAGCAATATTTGATATATTTCATTTAAATCTTAAAAAAACTTATGGTGGACAATATTGTAAAGGCTAATATTCGAGAATGGTGAGTGCTAAAAGGCTTTGGGAACAAACTTCCTTTAGATGCTGTTTGTAAGTATCGGCTTGTCTTTTTCAAGACTACACCAACAGTCTTTTTCAGGACTACACACCCTCAAGAAAGATTACCGAGAGTCCTTTTCAGGACTCCTGAGCAATCCTCCCTCTCTCACACATGGTACACCCGCAAGCCTATTGTCAAATAATGTCAGACAGTCAACCAATTCAAAACTTTAGACGAGTAACTTACTCTGTTCACATTGATGTATATTTCCTATGTATTGTAATTGTAGGTTTATTATGTATGTTTTTGTTTTGTTTAATATAGATAGCGTTTAGAGACTTCAGTGCAGGGTAAGCGCTTTATAAGCACCGTTTTTAGTATTATTATTTGTAAAATACTTTGTGTTAGATCTGAGACAAAAGGGAACAAAAATTGCTGTAAGTAATCTTTGAATTATTTTATGAGAGAGATGAAAAAGATAAAAAATTCGACCTTGCCAGGACTCGAACCTGGAATCCCCTGATTCGTAGTCAGATGCCTTATCCATTGGGCCACAAGGCCGATCTGTATGAGGGTGGAAAATTAAATTATTTATTTTAATTATTAAGAATTTTACACATTGTTATTCTTGTTTAATCCATGGCCAAGATAAATCTGAAATTATAATGAAATTCATTGCATTTCACTACTTGCTAAAAAGCTATAAACATTGATTTATACAAAAACGATATGATCAGACGGAGATTGACGTCATTGAATTTCGCTGGTTCCAACAAATAGCAGTACCGCGCTGGTGCACCGATTTCCCGTGTAGAAATATGTAGAATGAAGAGTGAGATGGATGGAGCGAAACATTAAACTTGGATGTTTTGCTTGTCACCGTGTACCGGTGTTTACTGAATTGTGGTTTGTTTACAACTACAAGATCACCAAGCCGTGAAAATGAATAATTCTTGAAATATTTCGTAAATAACGATTCAGGCGTGTCGTTTACAGCGAGTTATGAGTTCTTGCTGTACAAGAAATCTACTTTCTGACCAAGCGCAAGGTAACGTACGGCAACGTTTTTTTTCTTCTTTTCAGTCAGTGCTGTGGTAGCTTACATGCGCGGCCCCTTTGCGCCCCCGGTGCGCCGGGTTAACGTTCTGGCAGTGGCACTGCCATGTCTCTGCGCTGTGGCTGTATTGCTAATTGCTATGTAATTTCTGAATTTTGTGCAGTGTTTACAGATATGAATATGACGGCATTTCCCAGTGTTTTTAGAGTAGATATTGCTTGTTGAGTGAGTGAATGGTGTTGTGCCTGGCTGGCTAGGCTTGTGACATGTGTTGTGTGTCCATATTTTCAAATGTTGTGTCCTTGATTATTTGATTGACCATCGAATGATCGATGATCGTGTGATGATGGAATTTACTCTGGAATTGTAGTCTAGATCTAGATCTAGGCTTGACCGAATTTTTCTGTCTCTTTCGTTCGTTAGCCTCTGATTTGGGTAGGTTGGCTCTCTCTAAAGAACGAGATCGAGAGAGCCGACCTACCCAAATCAGAGGCTAACGAACGAAAGAGACAGACAAATTTGGTCTAGGTCTAGATCTAGGCTTAGACCTAATTGAAATTCAAAAAACTAAAAAGAAAGCTGTTTCCTTTCATCAATCATCATTATCAAGACATCATTCATTCATCGTCTGAACCCCCTGAAGAAGAACTGTTTTAGAAAGGGGATAAGTCACATTGAAACTTGTGCAAACTTATCATTTCAAATGTACCTGGCATGGCAGTAGTCTATCATCAATATTGAATCCTTTGACACTTTTTAAAGTAGCCCAAATGCTTCAATAATTAAATATAGATCAATATAGGCCATGATCACACAACCTTCACCTGTGTCTCATCATGGACCAAAGAAGGAGAAGAGGAAGAGGACAAAGTAGGAGGAGGAAAAGAGGGGGAAAAAAGGAGAAGGGGGAGGAGGAGGAGAAGAAGAAGAAGAAGAAGAAGAAGAAGAAGAAGAAGAAGAAGAAGAAGAAGAAGAAAGAGGAGGAGGAGGAGAGAAAGAAGAAGAAGGAGGAGGAGAAGAGAAAGAAGGAGAGGAAGAAGGAGGAGAGGAAAAAGAAGGAGCAGGAGAAGTAGGTGAAGAATGAGAGGAAAAGAAAGAGAAGAAGAAGATGCGATTTTATGGGTCAACCAAGTTCAACAAGCTCATTTCAGATGCTCAAAGTTTCATGTAAAATTTGCCATACATGTACATGTACATACCATCTTTGAAACCCCCAAATAAGCATTAATGGTCATTGATATTGAATCTATATCTGTGTGCACCCATGCAAAGGCGACTAGCTAGAATGCTCCCCAAAAGTGTGCACTTTAATGTGCAGATTAGAAAATGAATCCAATAACCAGGTTGATAATAATACTGTAAGTGCTTTGATCAGGTAATGGTAAACTGCTTTGATCAGGTAATGGTAATCTGCTTTAAATAAGAAAAAGGTATTATTGTTGTTGTTATTATTATTATTATTTTTATCATTATTTTGTCATTATCATTATGGTTGTATTGTTATTATTATTTGTATTATTATTATTATTTATACCATTAATATCATTATTATAAATATTATATACTTATTTATATGTCCATGTACCTTTTACACTCGCAGTACACCCTAATCCAAGATGGCTGAAGCGGTCAAGGTTATCGTGAGATGTCGCCCTCTTAACGGGAGAGAGAAGAGTCTCAAATGCAAGACATGCGTCAAGATGGACGGCAAGCGCGGATACTGCGAGATCCTCAAACCGAACTCCAAGGATCCTTCCAAGTCGTTCACGTTTGATGGGGCGTACTTTGTCGACTCAACGACGGAACAGATCTACGGTGATATAGCCTATCCGCTGGTCGATGTAAGGATTATTTTTTAAATGGTGTAGTTTGCTTAGTGGATCTAGTGGAGGTGGTTATTTTACCAGACTGCTAAGAAAGCATGCATGTATATGACTAGTAAGCAACCAGAGGGCCAACAGCTTTAAAGTAGTTTATAATTTCTACTTTCCAACTCGGTCAAAGATGCTACACGGACACCCAGTGAATGACTTGAATAACTACCAAAACAAAAATTGTGTATTGGTAGTTCCATGTTGTACGTAGTTCAAATATTAAGTACCGGTATGTTAAAAAAATTTGCTAGTTAAAATACAAGCTTAAAGGTAATACATGTTTTGGTAATATTTCAACAGGATTGGATTATGAAATTTAAAATTTGCATTACCATTGTGAAATCTAGTGTTAGAAAAAGCAACTTTGACAGAATTGAGGAATTAAAATATCAGTGTATTGGCTATACAATGGTAGCTGTGACCATGAAAATCTCGGAATATGCAGTTTTGATATATAATTTTCAAACGGGAATAGAAATTGGTTGATTTTCATCAAGAAACATTGTTTTGAATCAATCTTGAGAGGGAGATATACGGCAAAGAGTTTATTATTCACAATTTCATCACTTTAGACTTGATTTCTTTTGTTTGCAGGGTGTGTTGGAAGGCTACAATGGAACTATCTTTGCTTATGGGCAGACTGGATGTGGAAAGTCATTCAGTATGCAGGGCATCACAGACCCTGCCACACAGAGGGGTATTATACCCAGAGCATTTGAGCACATCTTTGAGAACATTCAGGTAATTTTCTGTCCCTTTCTGTCTGTCAACTTGTGTCTAACTATGGACATATATTCAGTAGCAGTACATATATGTAAGGACCCTGCCACACAGAGGGGTGTTATATTATACCCAGAGCATTCGAGCACATCTTTCCTATCGTGCACAATTTTTATTGTAAAAGTATTGATAAAGCATGCTTAAGATGCAAGTATGTATGCCTCTAGCGTGTTAAAAGTGAGGATGCAATATATTGCAAATTGGTTGTCATGGCAAGGACACTATTTTACCCTGTCATGACAATCATTCAGAACCTAAACAATATACCAGAAGCATGGGTAGAAAGTGCAAAAATGTCCTCACACACTGCATCAATTTTCTGTGCATGACCCTATTGTCTTTTTATGCCAGAAATTTAAAAAAGGAAAATGAGCTTATTATATCCCTAAATTTGCATACATTGAGAGGTTCTGAATCACTACTTTCTCAACTTTTTGACAAAGTCTGTACACATAGATATTGTTTCTTAGAGACATAAAAACTGTAAACTGTTGTAACCATTGCAATTCAGTCTTTGGACTGCGAGAATGAATAACTATCAATAAAATCCTTCAATCAAAAAAATAAAAAACAATATAATACATTTTAGTAGAACCATGTAGCAATAACATTAAAACAAGTCTGTTGCCGATTTGAAGAACAACTTGTGATTGATTTTAGCCTTGAAATAAATCATGTACCATATTAAACTGCACTGATGTGATCAGTGTCACACAGTGTCTGCTCTTTTCAAAACCAGTTTGGCATCAGTTTGACATTTCCCCTGTAAGTCACAAGGTAGAAAATGCTCTTGACAAGTTCTGTTCATTTTTTTCCTGTTTGAGTTCTTCCACATGCAGAGCATAGTCATTAATGCACTCATAAACATTAATAATTTATATACTAAGTAAATTAATTAGCCCGTATTTTCTGTTTGAATTCATCTACATGCAGTGCATTAATCACTAATGCATTCCTGAACACTAATAATTTATATAATAAATATATTCATTAGCCCGTATTTTCTGTTTGAGTTCATCTACATGCAGTGCATTAATCACTAATGCATTCCTGAACATGAAATATTTATATACTATATAAGTATATTAGCTGGCCTGCATAAAAGGTATTAAACAAATTCCCCTTGAAATATATTCTGCAACTTGTATTTACAATGCAATGTTGTCTGACGATTAGGGGGGGGGGGGGCGTTAAAGTGTGTGGTAATCAATACTCTTTATTGATTCTATAGCACTAATCAATGACTTTAAAGACAGGCACAATACATACTAGGGACTAATCTCTGTATTGTTAAATGCATGAAGGAGCGGCCTAGAGCTTACATTGTACATGTAGCAGTCTAAACGAATACCTTTCCCAATTGACCTGTAAAATGCTACTAAACCGACATTTTGAAGTGTACGGGGGACCCTGTTTCATAAAACTTGTTATCAATAACAAGTTACAAAGTCAGTTACAAGCTACTGAAATCGTGGCATTTGATTGGCTGAGAGCAAATTTGTCAGAGAAATCTAGCATGCTAGCATAAAGATGGAATGTTTCAACCATATATGTTATGCCTTCAAATGGTTAATTATTGTTCTGTATTAATTTTAAATGTATCTAATATTTCAAAATTGAAAAGCAGATAGGATTAAAATGCATAGGTTACACAACTGTGACCTGTCCTAAATGTATGTACTGTACATGTAGATTGGTGCTCTCCATCCCATAGCCATGCAACTGATCTCATTACAGCCCAATGTACATTCCAGACACTGCGTTAATCAAACTTCCTGTTTTTTGTGAAACTGATTATTAGACATATCATTTCTGCAAAAGTAGGAATAAACATGTTCCTGGCAGATCACCTATTGATCAGGTGATAAAGCCTCTCTGTTACCACTATGACATGCCATATACATGTATGTTAAAAGTCTCTCAACAGAATTTTTAAAAGTTTTGTTTTTGGGTCCATATTTGATGAACTGTCTCATATAGCATCAGATGGAATGTTATGGGGGGGGGGTGGGTATATGACATCCTCTTTCACACCATTAGACAAATTTTGCCATGAATTGTTTTGCAATGTTTGGGCTCCCAACACTTTAGAGGTGCTTTAAAGAAGGAATTTGCATACACAAAGCACCCTGATAGCATGATGTACTGTACACATGTACACATGGTATGTATTCATATATGTAAATATGACATGTATTTATATGATATATGTGCAGTACATATGTGACATGTATTTATATGATATACTGTATGTGCAGTACATATGACATGTATTCATATGATATGCATGTATGTGCAGTACATATGACATGAACATATGACATGAACATATGACATGAACATATGACATGTATTTGTATCAGGCGCGGATCCAGGATTTCTTAGGGGAGGGGGCCCAACTTTTTTTTTTTTTTGCTCCCGAAAATTTGAAAATCGCGCCGGCCGAAAAGTCGCTCAGTGGGGGGGGGGGGGGGGGGGTACAGAGCACAATTTTTTTTTTTTTTTTTTTTTGCTCCCGAAAATTTGAAAAACGCGCCGGCCAAAAAAAAAAAAATCGCTCAGTGGGGGGGGGGGGGGGGGGGGGGGGGGGGGGGGGGGGTAGTGAGCACTTTTTTTTTTTTTGATCCTCAAAAAAATTTCAATTTGCACCCCCCCCCCCTTAAGCGCCAGGGGGGGGGGGGGCCCAACCCCCCAAAATCGTAAAAATCACGTGATTTTACATGATTTTTTTCTCAAGGGGGGGGGGGGGGGCCCGGGCCCCCCCCTGGATCCGCCACTGATTTGTATGATACATTTGACACGAACATACATTATGACATGCATTTATCTGATATATGTGCAGTACATATGGCAGGCATTCATATGATATAATATGTGCAGTACATATGACATGAACATATGACATGTGTTCATTTGTTATCATATCTACATGTACATATTAATTACTACATATGTCATATCTACATTATACATTGATGTATGACAGGTATTCATACATGTGTGACATTGATATCATGTTTTACAGGTTGCAGAGGGCTTGAAGTACTTGGTGCGGGCCTCCTATCTAGAGATCTACAATGAAGAGATTCGTGATCTTCTGGGAAAGGACGCCAAGGCTCGTCTGGAACTCAAAGAACATCCAGATAAGGGTGTCTATGTCAAAGGTCAGATCATTATTAATATGATGGTGATGATGAGATGATGATTGTGGTCATGGTTATAATGATAATGGTGATGATGTTGATAGTGGTAGTGGTGTTGGTGGTGATGATAATATTGTCAATGTTATGATGGTGATGATGATTATGGTTGTAATGATGATGTTAGTGGTGGTGATTATGGTGATGATTATGGTGATGATGATCATGCAAATGGTGGGGATGATGATGGTGGTGGAGATTATGGTCATGGTGGTGATGATTATGATGATGATGATGATGATGACGACGACGATGACGACAACGATGATGATGATGATGATGATGATGATGATGATGATGATGAAGATGATGGTAGATGATGATGATGATGATAATGATGAAGATGATGGTGATGATGATGATGATGATGGTGCTGGTGGTGCTGATGATGTTGATTGTGTTCAGGGTGATGATGATGCTTGTGGTAGTGAGGATGATGGTATGTTCATGAAGCTAAAAACATTATTTGACATGATGTGCTTTTTGCCTTCAGACAAAACAGAGATATCATAACCTGATTTTAACAAAGCTAACATGCTACTTTTTAATGTAGAAAGCTTCTTCTTATCAATAAAGTTAACATTTATTTTCCTGTTTTTTTTTTATAGAACTGACCATGCATATCGTGCACAACAGGCGTGAGTGTGAACAGATCATGGAGCTTGGGTGGAAGAACCGTTCCACGGGTGCTACATTGATGAATGCAGACTCGTCGCGTTCACATTCCATCTTCACCATCCATATAGAGATGTGCGAGGTGGACGATACCGGAGAGGATCACATCCGAGCCGGCAAACTCAATCTGGTAGATTTGGCCGGTAGCGAGAGGCAGGGCAAAACAGGTATGTTGATAGTATTGAAAGTAATGATGGTAAGCCTGAGTCATTACGGTTTTTGTGCTAAACGGTTAACCGTTAAAAGTATACGGGCGGTTTCGTTTAACCGTTTAATAATAATCTGAAAAAGTGAAAATACAGTATTTGTAATAGTGCTGTAGCTCGGAACCCTGCTGGTCTTCGGACTGTCGGGCTGAGCATTCCCAGCCCGGACTATAAGGCACAAATTGGGTCATCCTGATAAACAGAGACCAGTAATAAACAACATAAAACATGTCTTATTATTCCTCATCTGAATTTGATATCATGATTAACCTTGCAAAGTTACTCTGTGAAGCTAGCTGATCTGTGATGTGTTTATATATGCCTTTGCAATGCAATGTTTGCACATGGTCAGGGAGAGAGCTCCCTGCATGTATCATTGCCATATGAAATTATGTGGAAGTGTGTATCACACACACCCAAGACACACCCTGCAATGAGCTGATCCAAGTTAGTGACCAATCAGGAAGGTTCTCTAGCTATGTGGGTGGAGTTTGATACCAGCATAAATTACAGGTTGGTGACCGCGCGTGCTTTCACCGTACCCAGTTCAGTGGGAGGTCAAGAAGCCACGCCCACATGTGTGCATGTGACAAGCATGAGCTCTCCATCTGTGTGTATGTACAGTGTATTTGGGCGCCGGAGGTTTGTGTGTACATGTGTGTGTGACTGAGAGAGCATGCATGGGCTAGCATGTCTCTGCATGTCCCTGCATGGACGAGGCAGGGACATGAGTGAAGATAGAAAGGGTGGCTGTGTTAATCGGCTGAATTGAAGAATGATCAAAAACTTAAATTACTCACAATATCCAAGACTTTGTTGATTGATAACTTCAATTATTATTGTTATCAATATTTTTGTATTTTATCTATATATGAACATTATTTTAGGGGGCGAGTCGGCAAGGGATGGATATTAATATTGAGAGAGAGAGAGAGAGAGAGAGAGAGACTCGGGGGAGAAGGGATGTGAGAGGAACTGACCATCGAATGTGTAAACATTTAGAAAGTTGTGAGCTGAGAGTGCAGTAATAAGAAAAGGTACATGAGCGATGAACACATTGCAGAGAGAAGGGAATAAAGAGGGTGAGAAAAGAGAGAAGGGGGCTGGTTGTTTTATTGTTTACAAATTCATTCATGGGGATTACTGCTGCCAGAAAGCTGGCGCGCAGCGGCCAGGGTGTAACATTACACTGTGATTTCTTTGGTTATCTTTATCATCGGCTATTAGCACATTCCAAAATGTATGCAAATAACGGTTAACCGGAGCGAGAAATGCTAAACGGTTTTGATGAATGCGGTCGGATAACCGTCGGTTAAACGGTTTGACTCAGGCCTAAATGATGGTAAGGATGATGATGATGATGGCTGTGATAGTGATGATGGTGATGATGATGATGATAATAATGACGATGATGGTGATTATGATGGTGATGATGGTGATGATGATAATAATGACGATGATGGTGATTATGATGGTGATGATGGTGATGATAGTGATGATGATGATGATGATGATGATGATGATAATGACAATGATGGTGATTATGGTGATGATGGGGATGATGATGATGATGATAATAATGATGATGATGGTGATGATGATGCTAGAGATTTGCAAGGTACACTGTAGATGATTCCAGAGAGGATCGCATCCGAGCTTACAAACTCAATCTGGTCGATTTGGCTGATAGCGAGAGGCAAGCAAAGACAATTATTAAGATAATATTAAAGATGATAATGGTGATGACATCCATAATTATGATAATGACGAGGAAGAGGCGGAGAATGATGAGGATGATGTTTGTGATGATATGACTCTGGAGAGAATAGCATCAGAGCTGTCAAAGTGACCATGGTTGATTTGGCTTGGTAGGGAGAAGCAAGCGAAGACAGGTATGAGAGGTCTACCCATAATCCTTTTCCAAATGCCAAAACATACAGTGTACCAAGTCTAATTTTTAGGGTTGGAAGTTATGTAGCCTTTTGCAAGTCAGATGAAAATAGGGAAAAACGGACACTATATTGTCTCTGCATTTATTATAAACTATATTGTATATTGTTGCAAATCTATAGACTAAATTGTGTTTTATAGATTTAGGCAAAAATCAATCAAATTCTGCTCCGTCTGTGCCCTTTCCTTCCTCCTTTATTTTTTATTTTTTTAACGGGGATGAGGAAATATTTTCCTCACATACACAGATATTATTTATTGACTCTTCTAATTTCTCTTGTTTTAGGTGCAACTGGAGACAGACTCAAGGAAGCGACAAAGATCAACCTGTCGCTCTCTGCCCTGGGAAACGTCATTTCAGCCCTGGTGGATGGCAAGTCTAAACACATCCCCTACCGTGACTCCAAGCTCACACGTCTACTCCAGGACTCCCTCGGTAAGTGTGAACAGTGTCAGTGTAGAGGTGGCGTGGTTCAAGTGGATATGTCACCGAACTGTGGATCACAAGGTCCGTGGTTCGAGTCCCACCCTGGCATTAATGTCCTTTGGCAAGACGTTTGCCACACTGAGATAACGGCTGCCAGAGCTAACGCTAGGGTAATCATTTCCAAAGCTCTTTGGAAGCGCATAGGGACGTTACAATGCGTTATACAAGAACGTAATATTATTATTATTATCTATTAAAGATGAAAAGCGATACTTCCCAAACTGTATGATTAAGAATGGTAAAAAAGAAAGTTGAGTGAAATGTGGGTCTTGTTTAAGGAGAGACCAAAGATACTGTTTTTCCAGTAATCCACTATCAACAATGAAAATTTTGAACACCAATTTCCTTTTTTTTCAGGTGGTAACACCAAGACCCTCATGGTCGCCTGCCTCTCGCCCGCCGACAACAACTATGACGAGACCCTGTCCACGCTCCGGTACGCCAACCGTGCCAAGAACATCAAGAACAAGCCCAAGATCAACGAGGATCCAAAGGACGCCCTCTTGAGGCAGTACCAGGAGGAGATCAAGACGCTCAAGCAGATGCTCATGGGGGAGATCCCCATTCCTGCTGGTGGATTTCCAGGTAGGTTTAAAGCCCCACTGTACTACTTGTAGCTACTTGCTCCCTCTATATAACAAACAGTGCCTAATCGGTGCATGTTGGTTCCCCATGATCCTCTGTTTCTCATGCTAATTGAGAGCTGTCAATGACCTTGCTGGGTGGTTTAATCCCCTCTAGTCAAACTAGGACTGACAGGCTGTAATAGGGGAAACTGTGAAAGTAAAACTTTTGGTTTGTGTTAGGTGGATATGATGATAAAGAGGATAATATATAAAACTGCCAGAGGTTTTCCAGGTAGATTCAATAGGGGAAACTATGAAAATAAAGCTCTTTTTTTTAATATAGTTACAATTTTTTGTTGATTTCTCCTTCAACGTTGTTCAAATTTCCTCAGTAATTTTTCTCAACATCATTTCTCCAAAAATGTTTCCAGAAAAAGAAAAAAAAATTGCTGTTGTTTCTCAAACATTATCAATATCACAAATTGTTTTTTTCCCCCTTGAACTTAAAACAATTGATGTATTTCAGCCGCTTAATCTCTGTATATATCCTGTATTTGTATATTTTTTATTAACCAAGCATTTTTTAAATGAAATTTAAACCCAATTTTTTAACCAGGCATGGAGATGATGGGTGAGTTGTGTTTTAATCTCTGTGTGACGACTATCCAACCTGTACTGCTTCAAAACTATCATTTTCCCCCTCTTCTAATATCTAGATGTCACTCTGTCAGTTTTATAATACAGCCACGCGAAGAACACATTGATAATTTTGGTTCAACTCATTGCAATTTTGGCAAAAAGTAGGATTGATGTTAAAGTTGCTCAAGCATGGGTATATAGTTGTTTGTGAAGTAGGCAACTTGGCGATCACTACATAACACTGAGCCAACGGGTATTACACTCTTGTGCGTACTTCCGTGTGCTGCCCTCTATATACCCACGCTTGAGCAACTTTAAAGCACAGATAATCACTTTATATGGCAGGGACTGCTCATTTCCTGTACTAAATGAGCTGTCCCTGGCCAGAGTTGTTTCTGAAGCTAATACTTGATCCATTGTCATACTGTTTATCATTACATCTTTAAATAGGCTTTACTTGTGTGCATTTTTTCCCCTTTAAAATTGCAAGGATGAAGGTCCAATGCCTTAATGCCTTTAATATGTTTTCCAATACTGTGAGATATGGAGTTGATTTGAGTTACACCAAGCACTTCAGTGTCAAGTAAAGTGCTCATGGAAGAACACTGGTGAAGGGATACTAAGTGTTGGTTTTGACACTAACACAAACAAATATTGTGATGTTTGAAATGACTTTATCCATACTCCATTAATCCAAACATATCTACACTCTTTCTTCAGAAGTAATGACACATTTCTGTTCCAAGGCCAAACATTGGTTTTGAAGTCACTCTTTCCTTATGAATTTACATGTGCACATAATATTCTATCCATTTACCTGCATAGAGATACATATATTCTTAAGGTGAACTTAGTTAAACCTTGGTTAAATTACTCTGATAAATTATGGATCGTGAAGTGTCTGGCACTTTGTAATCTAGACAGCACATAATAGAAATTTACCACACTATATCGATCATTATTATCATCATTGTCGTACTACACTAATATTTATGTTACATACATACATTCCATTTCACTTCATATAAATTTAAACCTAGATTGATGCAAATATCTCCTACTTTTTCATGCGTTCGGCACCTTATTCAAATATGCCAGAAGGCGAAATAGTAATATTTTAAAACTCCCATGTATTTAGCATATTTGTCCATTATTATCACATCACTTCACTATTAACATTTCTGTTACATACATATGTACATGTGTAAAAACCTATGAGTGATATATCTTCATTTTTTTCTTTTGCTGACTTACACTTTTGTGTGAGGTGTACTCTACGTATGTGTGCAAACTTTTGATCGCAACAGATTTAAATTCATATCTCTTTGTGTTTCCTTTGGTTAACAGTTAAACCTATTCTAAAACTATTCTTGTGTGGGTAAAGCTTAGTGATGTGAATACTGCTTGAATTGAGAATATGGTTTTGTAAATTAAATTGGGGTCATAGTTAATGTAATGTCCAGATTTGGTGGTTTTTGTGAATTTCTAAAACAATATTTGCAATTTGAAATGGACATCAATTAGCATAAGCAGATGAAAAAAAGAAAGGGATGGGACAGGGCAGAGGGGTAGGGAGGCAAATGAAATAGAGATAGCAGTTGAAATGTGATATTGATATCAAAGAGAAAAATAGCAGAAGGCATTAAAAAATAATTTTGAAAGAACCAAGATTTGTGAATAAGACATTATGAGAAGGAGAAGATTCATTGAATTGAATGTTTTCAAGGATATCATGGTAATATCAGCTATGATGCAAGAATCCCAGAATCCACCAACAATATCATCAAATTTGCAACACATTATAGAAATTAAGACTTAATTGATAATTGGCTAGCTTTTTAAAGCCCATGAATTTATTTTTCAAACAGTTTGAAAATGTGGCACTTTTGTTTCAATTGTAAAACATATAAACATAAAACCTCTTTAGATTGAACATTGTATGATATGCATGTTCAAATTATTTGCATTCCCTTCCCTTTTTACCCTTTGCGTTGCCAATTTGATGATATTTTTGGTTGCTTCTGTGGATTTTGTAAAGAGCACTTTCGGCAGGTACATGTATTTGCACAACATTACATAAATATAAGCACTGTTAATACTGGTAAATTATTATTTTGTATTTGGTACCCTAGCCTGCCTATTCATTAGAAAACAAGATATTTTTGTCCCCTTTAAAAAGCAAAAACTTGAATTACTATATTTATCTTTGTACCAGCTCCACCAGATGTAGACCTGCAATTGAAAATAGCAGATGAAATTCAATCGCTGCCTACGTATACAACCAGAGCACCAATTACTGATACAAACAAAAACATGCAATAAATGAAAAAGGAAATGAAGCAACAAATATTTTGTATGATGGCATAATTCATTTACTTTCATGATTATGCTTATATTTGAACAATGAAAATGTTATTTTCTCTTTGACACACTCAGCTGGTGCTTTGGGCGGGGCCCTGTCCAAACCCTTGCCCTGCCCCCTCCCCAGTCGGCAGAGGCTGCCCCCGAAGCCACCCCCTCCCAGGAAAGCACCCCAGAAGACACTAATATCATGAAGGAACAACTTCAAAAGGTACTCATCGATCATTGGAATAAAGGAATAATTTATAATAAATATGTGTTTGTCATCATTCATGTATGTTACATGAATATTTATAATAATTTGCCCATGATGAACTCATAATAATATTTTTTGTCAAGACTTTATGTTTCTCTTCAAATGTGAATCAACTTGTAAAGAGGAAATTTTGTTAGGGTTTGTATTCTGACCCTTGTGTAAAGATTAAAAGAAAGAAATAAAAGTTGGAGAATAGCCCCTCAGATCGTTAAAGACATTTTGTTCAATACAGATTCTTTTCCCCTACCATTCTCTACCCTTAAGATTGAATTCAAACACTTTGATGGTTTTTCATGCAATAAGAATTTGATGGCTGTAAAATACACAATGAGTCTTTGGCATCTATATTGGCAAATTTCTCATTGTTCGCTTTCTTCACTTTTTTTCCTTAGGATTATCAAGCCGAGCTTCAGGAGATGAAGGCCATGTATGAGGAGGAACAGGTGTCTAAGGCTAAGCTCCAGCAAGACATGGACCAGCTCAAGTCTTTGTATGATAACAAGCTAGCCCAGGTCTCAGAACAAGGAGGTAATAGAATACACACTTTATATGTATAGAAACCCCTTGTAATAGTTTAGAAACACAAGTTTAATTATATCTCTCTTGTCGTGCGATGATTATCGCTGAATTTTGTATCATTATAGAGCATGTACATTCCTCTTTAAAATGATACCATATTTGTTATCATTTTGCAGCCATGGCATGAACAGTATATCAGAATAAGGGGCAGGGTCAAAAGTGAAAAATATTCTTCTTCTTTCCAAGACACCGAAAATGTGTTTACATCATTTGATATCAATGAGGAAATAATAGATTTTGAATTTCATAGGATCAGGTTTCTTGCCTGTATCTTGTTGATTGACATTTTCATTTTTAGTAGTATTATCATGGTCTTTGACATTAACCATGTCATATTTGTTAACGTTTTGTTTGACATTGTTGATGTCCTTGACAATGACATCATCATTCACCATTATGACATCGTAATTAACCATTATGACATCATAATTAACCACTATGACATCATAATTAACCATTGTGACATCATAATTGACCATGTCATTGTACTTCTCATTGTGACAGGTGAAGCATCACCAACAGAAGCAGGTCAGAAGGTCATCACACTAGAGAGAGTACAACCTCCTCAGGACGGGGAAGCTGCTGCTAAACCAGATGCTTCAGGCAAGCCAGTTGCGCAGGTGAGACTTCACTTCTTCTTTAATGTCAATCTTGAAGGCTGAATATAAGAGGCATTGATCCGCATACCAGTCTGTATTTTTTTTAAATACAATTTTTGTCAGTAAAATGCAACTTTTTGGATTAAAGAATACAATTTTTTTCCAGAGGTTGGCAGGTCTGTGAATAGCAAGTCTTTAGAAGAAAAAAAATTAAGTACAATTTTTCATGCATGAACCATTCTTGAATTTCCCACTTTGATTCAGAATCTATGAAAGTTTCGTGAAAATATTTAAATCAAAATTGACATGAAAAGGGTCATCCTTAACGATTCCTGAAAGTGTTGTGGCTGGAGAATTTGAGATTTTAATGTGAATTAATTGATTGATTGATTGATTGATTCATGAGTTTCACTCTTTCATTTCCATGTGTTGATTCAGGGAGAGCAGGCCCGTGTTGAAGGGGAGCCGGCTGTACCCCCGACCGAGGATGAGGGTCCCTCTGCACCCCGGTCCTCTCCCAAGATGCCCCGTAAGGACCAGGGAGGTGGGTTCTTAGATCAGGAAGAAGCTATGAAGAGGTATGTTTGCTCTCTCTCTCTCTCCTTGCCTCTCTCTTTCTTCCTTTCCTTCTCTCTTTCTTCCTTTCCTTCTCTCTTTCTCCATTTCTTTAAATCATTTTACCCCTACCCCCCCCCCCCCCCCCCCCACTTTTACTGTCTACATTTTTCTTGTTGTCTCCCTTTCCTCTCTGAAAGATAGTGTACATGGTCCGATGAGAGAAACCTAAGCATACATATGACCACATGTTCATATTATAAAATTAACTGATCATCATCTTTAAAATGTTCAGGTTATAAGCCCTCTGTCTCACACTCTCTTTGGTTATAGTTTTGTGTTCTAGGTTTATAACTTGTCTGTCTGATTAATTATAAAAATATCTTGTTGAAATTTCAGGCTACAAGCCCTTGAGCATGAGATGGTCGGAGGAGAGAGAGCTACCGATGAAGGGCTGAAGGAGAAGAGGAGGAAGAAGTTGAAGCACGCTGAGATGAGGAAGCTAACCCTCGCTAAGGCCATCGCTAAGATGGATGATGATGGCATCATGCTAAACATCTATAGCAGTATCGAGGACGAGCTCAAAGCTAAGAATGAGCTTCTCAAGAAGGAACAAGAAAAGGTAGGCATCCACCAACATTTGCCATTCTTGATGTCGCAGGAAAATGAAAATGTTTTGTGTACCTGCTTCAGAGATGCCAACCAGTACAATTAAATCGTATTTAGTATGATAATAAGAGTGGAATACAATAATACGATATCACGTCCTAAAATATCATTTTTGAACAAAATAAAAAAGTTAAAAAAAAAAAATTGACCCATCAAAAGGTCCATAAGGTCTCATAGTCATTTCATGATAATTATTGTTAATGATTTAATATGTAGATAGTAGACAACTTGGTGTAGACCGTAAGGGAATATAGACTAATTGGGTAGTAGATGAAGTGGTTGTTGACCACATTCAGGGACATACATGTACCAGGGGCCTCTGAGAGTGACAATTATTAAAGGCTTATAATCTTTAATAAGGACATTGATGCCTGCCTGGGATTTTCTTTTTAGGTGGTTTGATGCAAAATATTATTCTGTTATTTCCTGATAGAATTATATTCATGAATTATCGATTTAAAGCACTGACTTTTTATGTGCATATAGCTGTTGCTTCTATGAGCAAATCTATTCCTACAGTAAATAAATAGTCTTTGTTGATGCTGATTCTGTTAAAACTTAATAGAAATTTCTGCAATGAACCAATTTTCACCTTGGCTGACAGAGAAGATTGGATGAAATGTATGTAAATGCTCATGCCATAAATACTGAGACAAGATGTGTAACTAGTAAAACCGCTAATTATGAAAGAATGAATCTTCATTTTTGACATATTTTACCGCTGCCGACATTTAAAAATCTTTGCGTTTTGTTTTTCTTGCAGTTGAGGGCAGCAGATTGTGAAATCAGTGACTTGAATGCCGAGTTTGAGTTTGAGCGTATAGACTACCTGGACACGATACGCAAGCAGGAGAAGCAGATTACCATGCTGCAACAGATCCTTGATCGGGTCCAACCGTGTCTGCGAAGAGACTGCAACTATTACAATCTGGATAAGGTAATGTAGATGATGAGAGAGTGAACGAGAGGAGAGAGGAGGGGAGGGGGAGGGGGTGGGGAGGGAGGAAGAAATATTAGGGAGGCACATAAGCACAAAGATAATAACAGATACAGATTCTTGATAGGGTCCAACCATGTCTGCGAAGAGACTACAACTATTACAACTTGGAGAAGGTAATGTAGATGATGATGAGACAGTGAATGGGGGAGAGAAGGGGGAGAGAAGGGGGAGGGGAGAAATAAGAGGGAGGCACCCTGATACAGAGAAATTCAAGCAAGAACTTGAAGGGGGGGGGGAAGAAAGAAAGAATCTTAGGTATGATGACAAGAAGGAAAAAGGAAACAGGTACAATGATGCAAATTCTTAAGTAGATAAGGTTGAATAGAGAAAGGGTGATAGAGATAAGGAATTGGAGGGTAGGGGAGAGGGCAGATAATAACAGATACAGATTCTTGATAGAGTCTAAACGTGTCTTCAAAGAGACTGCAACTATTACAATCTGGATAAGGTAATGTAGATTCAAATTCAAACTTTATTGATTTCAATCCAAACAGATGATGAGAGAGTGAATGTGAAAGAGAAGAGGGGAGGGGGGGGGGGGGGGGGGGAGGAGGAAGAAATATGAGGGAGACACACCCTGATACAGAGAGATTCAAGCAAGGAGTTGAGGGGGGGGGGGGAGAAAGAAAGAAAGAATCTGGATAAGCTATGATGAAAAGAATAGAGAAGGAATGACAGGAACAGGAATACAATGATGCAAATACTTAAGTAGATAAGGTTGAAGAGAGATAGGGAATTGGAGGGTGGGGGGGGGGCAGATAATACCATACAGATTCTTGATAGGGTATACAACCATGTCTACGAAGAGACTGCAACTATTACAACTTGGACAAGGTATGAGGATGCATGAGCTGAGGAAGAAATAGAGAAATGGAGAAGAGTTCATGACAACACATTTACTAATGCTAAACGAGTAGAAACCTCAGTAATCTAGAAAACATGTAGGAAATCAACCAGAGGGTGGATGATTGAAAATCGAGATATAAAGAAATATCCAAAATAGGGGAAACTAAGAGAGGAGGATGTTGATGGATGAGTTTGAGTTTGAGTTTATTAGTTTCTCATTCAAATACAATACAGCTAACAAAATACACATAAAAGACATTGTTTCATAATTTAAAAAAATTATTATAGTAATTTATTAATTAATCAGACTACAAAGTTACATATCATCAAATTTGCTTGATTTTTATTATCATTTAAAGGAAACCCAGACAAGAGAAGCGCAAAACTGTGAAATGTGCAGGAACCTAAAGACATTTACTAATTAAAGAGAAGAAAGAAAGAAAGAGATATTCTTTGAAAGAGAGAGCAATGAGTGCAAAGTATTACCTCATATTTTTTTTTTTGTCATCAGATAAAAGGAGAATGCTCTTGGGATGAGGAAGAGGGCCGCTGGAAGCTCCCCGATCTGGTCGTCGTGCGAGAGAAACTCCCCACCACCACACACCCGGGGGGCGCCAGCATGCCAGGAGGCATCATGCCCGGAGGTCGCCAACCTTTGACCCAGAGAGGTCAACCCGAAAGGTCAATGCCAAATAACAACCGACCTCAGGCCAATGGGTACCCTAATGCCAACGGGATCGGTCCTAGTGCATATGACGAACCGGAGGAGGATCGTTATCTACAGGTAATGATGCTGTTAAGCGACGCATTTTTCTTTCCATTGCTGCTTCGCACCTAGGGGGTGATATTCTGAAAATTATTTTTATCTGTTCTAAAGAGTGATATTGTTGCTGTCATAACTTTATCATATATATTGTTGTAACGAATCAAATTGTGATGCTTTGTTATGACTGTAGCGGTGTACGTTTAAGACTTCTGCACAAATACCCAACAAAGGTTGCAATATAATTTTGTTGTGATAATTAAAAACCCTTTCTTTACAAAACGTACTAATTGTATTTCAGAAGACTACCTGAGGAGATAAATGCTACAATTGTACTGTGATAAAGATTTCCTTTACTTTTTCTCCTTCGCCATTAAATTAGCATTTTTTTAATGATTTATTTCAATCCAGAGTTTAATCTACATTAATATTATTATTATTATATAAAAGGGTGCTTTTTAAATAAAATGTTATGATTTTATATTTTTGAAGTTCATAGATATATGGCATAATATGTGCTGTATGAATGAGATCTTGATGCTATACTCATGTTCTTATACAAAGTTTAAAACTTAAATGTTTTTCTCTCTTTTTTTAATTTACCAACAGAAATTGAACCAGTCCAATCATGACTCTGCAATAGATTATTTCAAACCTAAGAGGGCTAACAAGCTACTGAACAACTCTGATTCTAACAGGACTTTAAGTAAGTTTTTAATTTACCTTTTGTCTTACTCTGCCTATGTATAGAGATGCATTAACGTGGGTACCGTATGTGCCATTTTCACAAGCCTTATTTGGCTTTTTACATGCAAAATCCTTTTCCTTATCATTTTATTTTCATTTCTTTTAAATTTTGATGTGCATTTGTACCTGACTCTATAAGTAATCTACTTGATTTTGTATACCGTAGTCAGTCTTTTTTTAAACTCTGTTTTATAGTTTATTTCTATTTTTTGGGATTTTGTTTCATTATTCTGCCTGTACATACATTGTATAATTTTTGCTTTTTAAAATAAAGTTTCTTGAATTGAAAATTTGATTTTGAAGAATTATTGCTACTTTACCTTGATTAACATCGATGGAAAGCGTTTTTGCTGATTAACGTTTTTTTTTGTATGAACAGATGCAAATTTTAGAACAAACTGACCAATATACAATATTCACTGAACCCCTTGGTAGAACAGCTGTGCTGCAATGGCACAGCTGAGCAGGGCGATCCATCAAATGTTATTTTCTCATGTTAACATGTATATTGTTATTTATATGTTTTTATATAAAATAAAATAAAATTGAATTAAATGCTTGCAATGGTGTGTAACCCCACCTTTCTGTACGTTCATTTCACAGCCGCAGACCTTCCGATGCGTGGCCCCTCCCCCAATTTCCTCACCAACACTGACATGGCCGCCGCGTCCGTCCACGGCCAGCTGGGCCCGGCTGACGTCCCCATGAGACGCCCCATGCGACTAGAGGCCCTCCCCACGGGCAAGCCCAAGAAGGGCAAGAAGAAGCACAACACACTGGAACCGCTTTAAGAAGGCAGACAGGGCGCCGCACTTGCACCCTAGATGTTCTGGGGCAACTTTGGGGGTTGGTGGGGCAAGTGGACTGAGTGTTTTGCTGAGAGCAGAGAGGATTTGCGGCTGAATTAGATTCATTTGAATGAATTACTAGTACATGTGCATGTAGATTTTAATGATAGGATTATTTCTATGTGTATACTGTATTTTCCCTTTGCTGTCAACACAATTGTCTGTTTAATAGTTGTACCCTGTGCCCACCATGTATACACCATGTGTGCACCATGAGTGCACCATCTATGTCCCCATTGTGCACCATGAGTGCACCACAATTATGACAACCATGAATATATCTCATGTGTATCATGTGTGCATCATGCATACGTCATATGTGTACCATTCATACACCGTGTATACATCATGAGTGTACAATGCATACACCATGACGTTACCCTTTGTGCTCTAAGGTTACATCACATAAGCACCACAAGTGCACCAGGTAGTCTAGACCTCATTTTTGTTTCCGTCAGCCAGTGGAACATGCTATGACTTTTAATTTGTACTAATTGAGAAAACAAAAACAAAATTACAGATACTGAAAAAGCCATGTGATTGGTTGTTCGCTGGTTGTAAACTTCTTTACACCATAAATTTGAAAATTGATTCAACCCCATTCTCTCATAGCTGTCTAGATGCCGTCTACGACAGTCCGACAAACAACGCTTTTTGCATACCAATCGAAAGTACTCATTAAAGGTACACAAATGTTCACATTGATTGTGTAAAGGTAGTTTTCAACCAAAATTACAGATAGTTTTCCCTAAGTCACGTAGTTAGTAGTTCAAGTGGGCTGCAAAATTGCCAACAGAAATTTGTAGAAGAGTGCATCTTTGAACGACTACTAAAGCAGTGCACTTTAGCAAGGTGGCATGACTTGAATTCAGCCTAATCCTAGCAATCGTTGTGTTTTTGTATTATAAATTCTCGTCTAACAGAACTTGAGCGTCTTTCTTTTACTTTTATCAAGCAGTTGACAATAGGTATTCATTCGAGTTCAAAAGATAAAGAAATTCTATGGATATTATTAGATGTATGTACATAAAAAGTATTGTTACTTCTTTCTTTCATGTATTTATTAGATGTCTCCCGAAGCATTCCTCTTCCGTTTTAAGGATAATTACTGTTACAGTAATTATCATATCATTATCATATCATATCATATTTGTCACTAGTGTTGTATATAGCCACAGAATATGTCGTCGGCATGAGTATTTTGTCTTAACGGTGATGCATGTAATCAGCAGATATAACTGCATGCTTTCTAGTGTTCCCGATGCCAAAGGAATATATATATTTATATTTAGTCAATATTTAATAATAGGATCACTGTTGCACTTTTGGCCTATGAGAATGGCTAATGCTAACGGAACAGCGGAACTGTCTCCGAAGATGGATTTTTCCGGGTATCCTCATCTTTTCAGTTCTGTAAAAAAATATCCTGACTTATCTAGCGATAACAATGATATATTCTCACAAAATTACAGATGCGTGTGTGTATTGGGTTTTTACAGACGTGTATCAATCAGATATGATTATTTACGTCTGGGACCGACCTTTAAACGTCACCATCCGAAAGACGTGACTCAGTTTCGAACCTGCGTCCTCGGCTGAATCAGTTTGTAACTTCCACTTTTTAGCTGGATTACAGGCGCACGCCACAACGCCTAGATGCAAAAGCTTGCTGCGCTTCTGATTATTGCACAAGTTTTCACAGGCACAGTAATACAAATATTGCACGGTGTAAATATTAAATTATGCTAATATTGTGTATAAATGTAAATGAGCGTTAAGTGAATGTGTATTGTATGCGCTGAATCATGTTCATGCTTGAATATTTATCACTGTCTTATTCCGCCTTGTAAAAAACAAAGAAGTATATTATTTACGTGTAAAAGTTCTTCAAAACTGTGCTGTATTCAAAGTTAAGCTGGTTATTAATATGTATTAGATTTATCATAAATTATACATGTACTTAAATCAAAGCTTGTTCTGAATATTCATTAGAATTGTATGTTCCTGAACAGTTGAAGATAGTTATGAATATTCATTAGATCTATCACATACATGTACTTAACCATGTCAAACTTGTTAAAAGTATTAATTAGATTGATATTATGTATTTAAACTATCAAAGATGGTCATGAATATTCATTAGATGCATTATACGTGACAAACTGCAACTAACTGTTTAAAACTGTCATATTTTCATATAACGTACATGGGTATACGTTAAAACCTGACAAGTTTTCAGGCACAATATTTGAACGGGTTAATGAGCTTTCTATAAAGCTCATGTTTTACAGAAAATAGTTTGCTTTGAAAAGATGAAAATGTTTGGAGGAGGTGGTGAGTTTGTGATATCACTCAATAATTGGCAAGCTTAAATTAGCTGTCATAAATTTGCCAAAATTGCACAGTTTTGAGGTGTAGGTTTACGGTTTCCAAAGAAAAAGACATAAAAGATACCATACCAAAGGGTATCGGTAGGAAACATCGTTTTCTGTAAGAGTTCTAAATTTCCTTCTTGATTTTCTTTACAAATATGTTTTTATTTGACTTTTGTTTTAAACTAGAACTTTTCACAGTTTTCTAATGTGGCATATATTCACGAACATGTCACAAATGATCCAATTGCAACAATGAAGTTTTGCAATATACAAAAGTTTCTTGCTGCAAAAACAAACAAACAAGGTTTTCAACATTACCGGTATATGTAACTTTCATGTCACCTATTCTTCTGGTTTTACAGCATCCTTTTCCAAACTTTTCAAAGATAATTTTCCTGAACTCTTAAGCTTTGCAGAGCTCCATTTAAACCTGAAGCATAAGAAATTCAATGCCCCTTTTTAGAGGTGTAATTGTCTGAGTGACTCACTATTTCTAAGTAATGCTGTGTATAAAAGCACCAAAGCAGCTGTTAAAGTAGTGGTATGTAGATTTCTTTCAAATGGAAAACAGGGAACTATACATGTAGCGTGATGTAGTTTTATCAATCAATGTCTATCGTTTTGCCATGAAGCCATAGTGGAAAAAAGAGTCAACTTTGCCTAGTCTGACTGGAACCAATTATATTTTTATTTCACTGTAACATTTAAGACACAATAATAGATATATTAATGAACCAGCTTAAATGGAAATTACAAAAAGCAATGAACATGAATGTTGATTATAAAATTACAATATTATCTGGTAACAACTATAAATTATAATGCTTATTTTCATGAGTGACATATTTTACTGCAGCAGAAATTCAAAGTTTTCTGATTTTGGTGTTTCTGCCTTCCAGTATAATTCTGAGAATTCTATATAAATAGATATTTCAAAATGTTAATAAATAGTAAAATTGTAACTCTATGGGATACTCATTATGGTTTTCAACGATAAGGATGAGATCTACTCATGATACTAATTAAGGAAATAACTTAAACACTTATTATTAACCCAATCCTCTGTATTCTTTTGCATATTTTTTTCAACCAGAATTTGTCAATAATGTCTTATTTTGCTGAAATTTTATTTTTCTATCTTCATGTCAATATTTATGCACTCCGTCTTTTATGCCATTTTTATGAATTGTTATGCATTGTTTATAGTGTGTGCTGTGCTTATTAATACTGAAATTATTTTTCAACAAACTTTTACAATTTTCACTAGATATTCAATTTCAAAGATGCTATATGACTTGGTAAATATAAAAGTTTATGTTATAGTTTTTATGTGTACAGAAAATTCAGAATGTTTATGTTATTTTAAGCAATGTTTAACCAGAGAGTGTGTATTGTTCTTGATTTATGTAAACTCTTCTATTTGTATAAGTTTTTATGATTTTCAATAAGATTGTGTTCAGTTTGTCAATAGATGTATGCAGCTTAAACGAAACGGTAATAATACAATCTGGAGGCTATAAACTAAGGAACAAGGTTCAGCATTTCTTGTTTCTTATATTCAAACCATCTTTCAATGACTACACCATTGCCCATAGAGTTGGAATAAATTGTTTCAGCGGCTTATATCCATGATTCTAACTTGTATCAGTACCGGTAGTTTATATCTATTATTGTTGTTATTGACAAGAATAATGGAACAGCGCCCTCATTTTCAAATGTGACCAGGGTATTATAGAGAGCTTTGATATGTGTGTAAATACAGTCAAGCCTGTTTTAGTGACCACCTGTCTACAAAGACCATATCTTTTGTTTCCCTTGAAAATGGTTTCTTATTGAAACATGTACTAAAGGAACCTGTCTACAAAGACCACTTTTTGTGTTTCCCTTTGGTGGTCGCTATAGACAGGTTTGACTGTATATTGAACCATCAATCAGATATACATTTTGTCTGTCCGGAACCAAAAGGGAATTTACTCTGTATTAAAATATATGAGTTAATGCCCTTCTGGCTCCAAACAGACAATTTAGTTGAAGAAATACATATACTTGCCCAGTCATATCTCAGTTATTGTTTATGTGCAATACACATATTGATTTTGTATTAAACATACATTCCCCAACTGCATGTACATGTATAGACATTCAATATAATATTTATAGATGACTATTTAAAGCAGTTTATAGGCGCTTTTTAAATTCTGCAATATTTTGAAGCTGCAGATTTCATCAAATTTCGGCCATTTTAAATGCCATTCAAAGAATTCAACTACTGGCATGTTTACAAGAAAATAAATGCCTTTTGTCCTTCTCTGAACCAATATATTTGACATTTAAGAGATAGAATGTGGTTATCCTGCTTACGAAACATGTAAAGTGTTAATGTATAATCGTATTGACTATAAATTCAAAGTAAACCCATGTGATGTAATGTAGATAATTACATACCGGTAATAGTCATATATAATTACAACATTGATGTACATTAACTGTAAAATAAGTGTTGCATGTCGACTAGCAGTTATCCTAGTGAAAGGTTTACTTCCAGTGATTTGTGATATATTTCACCTACTGTATAAGTCACTCTATTCACAAGGGTTTATTTTGTCTAGAGTCACCAAGTTCAGCTGATTCAAAGATTGTATGAAGAAACATTTAAGAGTAACATATAGGATATGAAACGTTTGGATACAATTTGAGTTTTGTGTAATGTAAACTTTCCACACACAAAAAAACACCTTCAGTTATCTTCAGTGAAATCTTTAAATAACTGGTTGCATGGTATACTCTTACATTAATTACTGAGCCAAAATTAATGCATTGTTTTGAAAATTACAATAGGGCCTTAATTCTTGATAGATCTCACAGTTGGAACTAGACCGAAAGCTTCAGTCTCTGATATCGACGGTTGCTCCGATGAGATTACATCTGGCTCCTCTGACCGCCTCTATACATAGAAGGTTGACAAATGTCATATTTATTAAAGAATGACTCATACCAGGCGATTATTTCTGTCTAAGTTAAAACATGGTATAAGCTACATCACTATGAACTACAACACTATGAACTACAAGGACTATATAATTATTCACAATATAAATGTTTGATGCTGTAATATTGCCTATTTATGCATGTACCTTGCATTGCGTACAACACTGGTGTAAACTGTTCAATTTTCCTCTGCAGAAGTTAATTTAATGAATGGAATTCTATATGTATATTTTGTGTTCTGTGTGTGATGTGTGTGTCATATAGTTATAGGAATAAATTATGCAGCATTAAAATATTGAGAAAACGTATTATACACTTGTAATATTTCTGAATAAATCTGTGGTACTCGATGTGATTGAGAGAGAGAGAGAGAGAGAAGGAGAGAAGTAGATAGAGAAAGATGAAAGGGAAGGAGGATCAAGAGAGAGAGAATTCTAGAGAAGAGAGATGTTGGATAAATACATGTTAATACAGATCCGAGTCCACATTTCCTTAAAGGTAATACAAAGTTTGGGAAATTTTGAAAATTGGGTAGATAGTGAATCTTTACAATTTTGATATATTTGGATGACACTGTGGATGTATTGTAAGCACTAAAAAAGTAGCCC